TCGACGATACTTACCAAGAGAGGGATTTGCCGGAGCAGTAGGCGACTTGGTCGCAGTGATGTCCACTTTGGCGAAGTGCCTTGCGGCGGAGCGATTTCCACCATGCACCGAGGCGAAGCAGTAGGCCGCTTCTGACGAGGCATTCGCCGATCTCTGCTTGAATTCTTCCGATAGAGATGGGTCAAGAAGCGCCAAGGCGGTGTCCTGCGGGAAGAAGGAAAATCCGTCAGAGCTTATCCAGTAAAACATGTTGACGAAGGAAAAAACAGTTGCAGAAGTTGCAGAAGTCTTACTTACGTCCACTTGGAGGAGATGACAATCCCGTCCTTCGCCTTAGCATCTGCGTCGGAGTAAGCGCCAACAGCAACGGGGAAAGCGCCATTGAAGATCGTCTTGAGAAGATCTCGAGTCGAACACCTTCCCGATGATAATCGCGGTGAAGATATCGCGGTGGTCAATTTGCCGTGAAAATTTCCCAGGGTTCTCGCGGTCTTGCAGTGGATATCTTGACAGGGAGTTCTCGCCGTAGGGAGTTTCTCACGATGTAGTTCTTGCCGCGAAGAACAGGGCGTAGTACAAGGTTCCGGCCAAGGCTTGCAAGCAGCTCTCTAGACTCACTACCCACCCACCCCACCCACGACTCTAGACTCTACGCTAACTCTAACGCCTACACGAACCTACACGGACTCTAAGACGCGCTGCTGCTTGCCTTGGCCTTTCCCTTGCACTAGCTTAGGTGGCTTCATGATGTAGCTTAGTGAACTGCTCGTCGCATGAAGTCCACAGGTACTAGCTCATTGGGACGGAGCTGATTTTGACGGAGCTGTAAAATCCTTCCGACGAGATAATTGGGAAGGTAGAATCCGAAAATGAAGTTGACGATAGGAGCTTGTTGATCCTCTGATGGAAGGAATGGAACGATCGAACAAGGAGTGCGTCGATGGAAACGATATTCCAGGTCGGAAACTTCTGGGTGCGGTGCGGGCTGCGGCGCGTCTCAAAATGTTGCAGCCAGCGGGGTTCGGAAAGTATGAATGATATCGTTTATCGATTATTCCCGCTCTGACTCAAGGTGCCGTTGGCGGTGAGGCGTGGCGCGACGCGGCGCGGACGTTCGCTGCTGCTACAACGCCGGAGGGGTTGCGGCTAGTTTGTCGGTTACATGAGGCGCCTTCATGATGAACAGATGGCGCAGAGATGATGCGGCTATCGCCACCACCAATGATGGTGAAGATTCATCATAGTGATGTGTCATGGTGCGATGGCCGCCGTCACCATAGAGATTCCCCGCCTTGGAAACGTTTTCCATGGGGACTTTCAAGGCGACCCGAATGTGTGCATGTGTGTGTTGGTAGATTACAGCCGTGGTTATTTGATGAGTGCGGTGCGTTGCGATCAAGCGCGCGGCCTTTGGTATGGTGCATTTGTGCCGTTACAATACCAAGCAAGTTTTGCAAAATGGTGAATGGATGGCGGAGATGATTGCTGCCGCAGATGGATGGTGAAGATTTGGTGGAGCCTTGTGTTGGGAGGGAGTGGTGAAGGTGGCTAGCGCCGCCAAGGCAGCTTTCCGCCTAGAGAATTTCAGAGGGTGTTCCAATGGACAGATTTCGAGGCGGCCGAAATGTGAATTTGAACTCATCCCAACGCGACTCGACATCGTGAAGCATTTTCACATGTACAGTACAAAGGGTGGTAAAGTTATGTGGGTTGGTTTGCGGTTTGCTACAAGCGGATCTGCTGAGGACGCGTATCGCCGTGTTGTGGTTTGACGGGCACTCTGATATCGGGTAGGAAAGGATAGGGCTGGGGCAGGAAACGAACTTTTTAGGAGGTTGTTGACGTGGCGCGTGTATTTTATACGTATAGACCGACTATGATTCTTTTGCGAAGAATATTGCGTGGAGTGCGGGAATGCGTTGAGATGTGTCAACGGAAGGCTCAGGTGCTGGCGCGATTCATTTTGTTCCGTGTGAACTTGATCGGGGCAGCTGAAAATGGCAAGTGGTGATCGAGAAAAAAATCGTGCGAGCCAATAGAATTGGGAGGCGTTTTTTGCCCTCATCCATCATCTTCCAGCTCATTCCCCTTGGTCTCAAATGCTTGGTTTCATCGATTCTTGGTGTTCATTTCGCCGATTAGCGTGCCCGCCTGCCGTAGCCTCTATCAGTCTAGCCATCGGTCGGGCTTCAGTGTTAGCCGCTTCCATCTGAACGACTGCTGGTCTCAGATTCAAGTGAAATAAGCAACGTTCGGTGCGTGCTCGATATCTTTGAACCGTAGCCAGTAGTTGTAAGAACCGACGAAATATAAGTTAAGGATCACGGGAGAAATGGAAACGTTTCCTTGCGGACGACTTAATAGCGTAAATAGTTTTCAGTGCCACCTAAATCGAACACAAGATAGAAGGGAGGCAGTAGACTGGCAAGAGGCGGCGGTCCACGAGCATGCTACACGGTTTCGCGAACGTAGGGTTTCGGCGAGCATGTTACAGCTCTCGCGAACATCGGATTTCCGAGCTGACGCACGGAGACTCCATGTCGTGCAACCTCTCCCTTTCCCCCGTTTCCCCCATCCCCCTTATCTTCCCTCGCACATTTTTCCTATCTCTCGCCAGATCTCCCCTCTCACTCCCCCCATCTCCCCACGCTCTCCCCTCATGTCTTCACGCAGCTCTCATCTTCTCCCTCACCCTCCTACCTCTCATCTCCCTCCCTACTCACTTACATCCCCTCGTCACTCACTCCTCATCTCCTCTTGATTCAACCATCTATCTCCCCCACCGTTTCCCCGCTCACCCCTTGACTTCCCCCCGTTTTCCCCCTTTCTAGCCTCCCCCACTCACTCCCGTGAACTCTCTCCTGTTCACCCTTCATCTCCCCCCTGTCTCCCCACTCCCCCCTCCCTCCCTCCCCCCTTCCCCTCCAGCCTCCTATCCTCCTGCACTCACCCTCATTTCCTCTCTCACGCACACCTCATCTTCCTACCCATCACTCCTCACCTACCTTCCCCACTCACCCATCATCTCTCTCGCCACTCCCCCGGTCATTCCTCATCTGCCCCACGTTCCTTCCCCCTTTTACCCCCTCCTCCCTCCCTTTCCCTTTATTTATTGTCCCTCCTCCCAAGTCTCCCTCTTCCCCCACCGAACTCACCCCTCACCTCACCCTCTGCTCAACCCTCATCACTCCCCTCTCCACTTACCACTGCTTCCTCACATGCTTAACATCCCCCGACCTCCACCCCCCCTTACTCCAATGACCCTTGCCTTTTTCTCCTTCAATCTGCCTCTTCTTCCTCTTCTTTCTGCCTCTTCTTCATCTGGTTTTCATGGACTTCTTGACGCATGGCTGCATGTGACTTGGCCTGCTGCAGGTTAAGCAGCATCAACTATGCAAGTTGTATCCTAGCTGGAGGTTGTCTGACCCAGCTTCCCGGCTGCAAGATTGCATGCATTTTTGTACACCCTGTTGAGTCTCATGTGTAATCAGTGTATGTGGAAACCAGCGGAACAAACACTGGGAATACTACCGCATGCCATACAAGGCAAGAAGAATGAGAATATACCACTAAAAGCGCTTGGGAATTGCTGAGAAGTACCGTATGTTTTATTCTGAGCCCACTGACACACAGCAGCAAGAGCTTGAACAAGCCTCCTCCTGTACTGAAACGCGGTACACATAGCCAATACCAAGGACTTCTTTCCCTCATCGTCCTGCCCTCGCATCTCCCACTGCTGTTTCTCAAATCCCCTACATACACGGCCCTCCACCTGCAGCTCCAGGGCCTTTCAATTCGCCAAGAAAGCTGCCTCTCACATCCTCCTGCGCTCGCATCTGCCAGCTGCTGTTTCTCGAATCCCCTACATACACGGTCCCCCACCTGCAGCTCCAGGGCCGTTCGAGGCGCCAAGAAAGCTGCCTCTCACTCTCACATCTTCTTCCCTCACACCTCCTACTTTTGTTGCCCTCACATCCGCCTGCTGTTGTTTCTTGAGTCCCCTGCCTCGCTGTCTCTGCGTGCGCTGCCTCCCCCCACCTGCAACTCCAGTGCCTTGCGCACCACCAGCTGCATGCGGTTCTGGTTCACTGCACTCATAACCTGTAGGAGGGGTGGTTATAACGAGGATGGGTGCACTCATATCATAACCTGTGCAGATGCTACAGAGCAGTAACAATAGAGATGGTTGCATTTGTCGCCGGTCATCAAATGCCACTAAAATACCGACCCAGCAGCCATTCCAAATGTCTCACCTGCTGAATGGTGAGGCCGTATTTCTTTCTGAGGTGCCGCCTCCACACGAGCTGGATGGTTCTGGCAGCGTGTGTGCGCCGGTTGTGACAGCACTCGCTAGAACACAGACAAGGAAGAGAAGCGCGAGTGGGGAAACGTATGGGGAGGAGAAAAGGATGCAAGAGATGACGAGACTGAACAAGCAGAGATGGAACTACAGGGCCGGAGGTGATTGTCGAGTCGTCATCAAAAGACCAATGGATGGATCCATTGTCAGCGTGTCAGTAGCAACAGCACACAGAGTTACAATGGCTTCTGACCAGCCACTAGACACCAAATCACCACCTACTTGAGAGCTGCCTGGATTTTGCTGGTTGAGAGCATGCGGGCGAAATGGCGGCACACGACACACATACAGACTAGAGCAGTCGAGCAGTGCAGAGCACAGCACAGCACAGCACAGCACAGCACAGCACAGCACACCAAACCACCACCTACTTGAGGGCGGCTTGGATCTTGCTGGTGGCGAGCATGCGGGCAAACTGCCGGCACACCACAGCCACATCGGTAGCTTCGAGCTCGTACCCCTCAACCGCTCATCCCTTACACCACAAGCAAAACAGAGCACCTACTTGAGAGCCGCCTGAATCTTGCTGGTGGCGAGCATGCGGGCAAACTGCCGGCACACCACGGCCACATCGGTGGCTTCGAGCTCATAGCCCTCCCCCACTCATTGCATAAATCAAACCACAAGCAAAACAAAGCACTCACTTGAGAGCCGCCTGGATCTTGCTGGTGGCGAGCATGCGGGCGAACTGCCGGCACACCACAGCCACGTCTGTGGCTTCAAGCTCGTAGCCCTCCACGGGCCCGATGCACCGCACCGTGCGCTGCGCTGTCGGCAGCACGTCGATCGCCAACGTGCCCAGCGCTGCTGCTGACGCCGATGCTGATGCTCCCATGGTCACAGCTGCATGCGCGATGGGGAGAGGGAGGCGGAGAGGGAGGGGGAGCGAGAGACGCAGGAGAGAGGGGGAGGAATGGGGTGACTTTTGAGTCGACTCAAAAGTCACCTTGAGTCGACTCAAAAGAGAGGGGGGGAGGAATGGGGAATGGATGAATGAGGGGTGAAGAGTGGGTTACTGGGGGAAAGGGAGCTGCTGCTGGCACACCACGGCCAAATCAGTGGCTTCAAGTTTCTACCCCTCCACGGGCCCGATGCACCGCACCGTGCGCTGCGCTGTTGGCAGCACGTCGATCGCCAACGTGCCCAGCGCTGCTGCTGACGCTGAAGCACTCGCACCCATTGTCACCGCTGCATGGGGAATGAGGAATGGGGGAAAGTAGAGGAAACATGGTCACAGCTGCAGGTCGGATCAGGTGAGGTCAGGTCAGGTCAGATCCAGATTAGGACAGATCCGATCGGATCGGATCAAAATCAGGTCAGACTCACATCGGCCCAAATACCAGATGCTAGCCCTGGACCACAACCCCAAGTGGGTACTACTCACATCGGCCCAGGTAGCGAATCTGGGTGCCTGAGCGCCGGCTCTTATCATGATCCGACAGCTTCTCAAGACACTCCACCAGAAGCTCTTCCCCCAGGAAGTCCCCCTTCCCCAGCAGCACGCTGTCCACAAACCTCCTCCATGCTTACAACCCCCCCTTTTCCACAAGCCCAGGAAGGGGCTACTCACATCGGCCCAGGTAGCGAATCTGGGTGCCTGAGCGCCGGCTCTTGTTGCCATCCGACAGCTTCTCGAGGTACTCAACCAGAAGCTCCTCCCCCAGGAAGTCCCCCTTCCCCAGCAGCACGCTGTCCACAAACCCGCCCTTGTTTGAACCCACGAGGGCACTACTGGTACTCACATCGGCCCAGGTAGCGAATCTGGGTGCCTGACCGCCGGCTCTTGTTGCCGTCCGACAGCTTCTCGAGGTATTCCACCAGCAGCTCCTCGCCCAGGAAGTCCCCCTTCCCCAGCAGCACGCTGTCCACAAACCCCGCGCGCCCCCCGATGGTGGTGTAGCTCTCGAGCTGGCCGCGCAGCACAAAGAAGAGGCGCGACACGGGGTACCCCTCCTTGAGGATCACCGTGCCCTCTATGTACAGCTGCTGCCGCAGCTTCTCACAGAAGGCGTCTAGAACCTGAGGCTCCATGGCGAAAAACAGCGCCGACTGGAGCAGGGAAGGGAGGAGCAGGGGTAGGGCACGTTGAGACGGGGCAGGGAAAGGGGGGAAAGAGAATATGAGGACCCTGGGGGTGGTGGAGGGCGTGGGGAGTGGGGGAGGGGGGCGCCCCCCACCCCCCCGATGGTGGTGTAGCTCTCGAGCTGGCCGCGCAGCACAAAGAAGAGGCGTGACACGGGGTACCCCTCCTTGAGGATCACCGTGCCCTCTATGTACAGCTGCTGCCGCAGCTTCTCACAGAAGGCGTCTAGAACCTGAGGCTCCATGGCGAAAAACAGCGCCGACTGGAGCAGGGAAGGGAGGAGCAGGGGTAGGGCACGTTGAGACGGGGCAGGGAAAGGGGGGAAAGAGAATATGAGGACCCTGGGGGTGGTGGAGGGCGTGGGGAGTGGGGGAGGGGGGCGCCCCCCACCCCCCCGATGGTGGTGTAGCTCTCGAGCTGGCCGCGCAGCACAAAGAAGAGGCGCGACACGGGGTACCCCTCCTTGAGGATCACCGTGCCCTCTATGTACAGCTGCTGCCGCAGCTTCTCACAAAACGCGTCCAGCACCTGCGGCTCCATGGCAAAGAAGAGGGCCGACTGGAGCAGGGAAGGGAAGAGAGAGTAGCGGTAGGGCACGGTGAGACGGGGCAGGGGGAAGGGGGGATAGGTGGGGCACACGTTGGATGAAGGGACACGGGGTACCCCTCCTTGAGGATGACCGTGCCCTCTATGTACAGCTGCTGCCGCAGCTTCTCACAGAAGGCGTCTAAGACTTGTGGCTCCATGGCGAAAAAGAGCGGTGACTGGGGGGGTGGGTGTATGGGGGAAGAGAGGGGAGGTGGGGAGTTGGGGTGAGCATGGCAAAGCTTCTCACAAAACGCGTCCAGCACCTGCGGCTCCATGGCGAAAAACGAGGCCGACTGGAGCAGAGAAAAAGAGGGTTGTGCGGGGGTGGTTGGGTGGGTATGGGCTCCATCCATGGCAAAGAAGAGTGGCGACTGGGGGGGTGGGTGTATTGGGAGTGGCAAGAGGGGGGGAGTACGGGGTGGGGTATGCGGGGGGGCTGGCAAAGCTTCTCACAAAAGCTTCTCACAAAAGCTTCTCACAAAAGGCGCCCAAGACTTGCGGCTCCATGGCAAAGAAGAGTGCCGACTGGGTGGGTGGGTGTATGTATTGGGAGTGGCAAGAGGGGGGTAGTACGGGGTGGGGTATGCGGGGGGGCTGGCAAAGCTTCTCACAAAAGGCGCCCAAGACTTGCGGCTCCATGGCAAAGAAGAGTGCCGACTGGGTGGGTGGGTGTATGTATTGGGAGTGGCAAGGGGGGGGTGTGTACGGGGTGGGGTATGGGGCCTGGCAAACCTTGCGTCCTCCGCCTCCTCCACTCCCTCCCCTCCCCTCCCTTCACTTGAGAAGGCAGTTCACTCTCAATGCAGCACCACTCGCACACTTTCTCCCACCCACACTACCGCTCACACACCACCACTCACGCATTGCAGCAGCTCGAGGCACAGGCTGCGGCGCACGTCCGTCTGAATGTCGTCTGAGAGCTTATCCAACACCTCCGCCTCCTCCACTCCCCTCGTCGCCACCCAGTGCAGCCGCTGCTGCTTCTGCACTCGCCTGGGCAAGTTAGCAAGAAAGGGACAGATGGGGAACGAGGAGAACCAGAGGGAGGGGAGAGGGCTATTGAGTTGAGGTGAACAAGCTTCTGCGCTTGCTTCAGAGAGAGGAAGAAGACCCAAGGGTAAAGGATGGACAGCTTATCCAACACCTCCGCCTCCTCCACTCCCCTCGTCGCCACCCAGTGCAGCCGCTGCTGCTTCTGCACTCGCCTGGGCGAGGTAGGGAGGGAGAGAGGGAGAGTCAAGGCAAGGTAGAGAAGAGGGGAGTCACGTAAGAGAGGGCGACTGAGCTGAGATGTCTCAGAAGTTCTTCTGCACTCGCCTGATGGGAGATAGGGAGGGAGAGAGGGAGAGAGGGAGAAACAAGGCAAGGTAGGGAAGAGGGGAGTCACGTAAGAGAGGGCGACTGAGCTGAGATGTCTCAGAAGTTTCTTCTCTTCTGCACTCGCTGGGAAGAAAAGAAGGAGACGCAAGGTGCGGGATGGAAAGCTTGTCTCAACACCTCCGCCTCCTCCACTCCCCTCGTTGCCACCACCCAGTGCAGCCGCTGCTGCTTCTGCACGCGCCAGGGGGAGAGGGAGAAGAGGCAACTTCGGGGAGTGGGGAGGGACAGAAGAGAGGGTTTTACGTAAAGAAGAAGGGAAGTAAGACGACTGGAGGTGCAGTGCAGACAAGCACTCCAAGAACTCGGACAGAAAATATTCTTAGTGATGACTAAGGATGGTATCTGAAGGCTGGGAACTTATACATGTGATGTGATGTGATGTGATGTGATGTGATGTGATGTGATGTGATGTGATGTGATGTGATGTGATGTGATGTGATGTGATGTGATGTGATGTGATGTGATGTGATGTGATGTGATGTGATGTGATGTGATGTGATGTGATGTGATGTGATGTGATGTGATGTGATGTGATGTGATGTGATGTGATGTGATGTGATGTGATGTGATGTGATGTGATGTGATGTGATGTGATGTGATGTGATGTGATGTGATGTGATGTGATGTGATGTGATGTGATGTGATGTGATGTGATGTGATGTGATGTGATGTGATGTGATGTGATGTGATGTGAGGGCGTACTTTTGGAGGCTGAGAGGCAGGTTGCGTCTCTCCATCCACGAGTCAATGTCATGGCGCTGCAACTGGTACTCAAAGGACCTGGTGAGGTGGGGAGGGGGAAAGAAAGGGCGAATGAAGGGGGAGGGGAGGGGAAGGGGGGGAGGAGTACTTAGCCAATGTCATGGCGCTGCAACTGGTACTCAAATGACCTGGTGAGGTGGAGAGGGGGAGAGAGGGGAGGAAGGGGGAAGGAAGGAGTGCAGGAAAGGAGGGGGGCAGGTTGCGTCTCTCCATCCACGAGTCAATGTCATCCACGCTGCAGCTGGTACTCGAAGGACCTGGTGAGGTGGAGAGGGGGAAAGAAGAGGCGAATGAAGGGGGGGGAGAGGGGAAGGGGAGGAGTAATGAGTCGATGTCTTGGCGCTGCAACTGGTACTCAAATGACATGGTGAGGGTTGAAGAGGGGGAGAGGGGGAAGAAAGGGGAAGGAAGGAAGGAAGGAGGGTAGGGGACCAGGTGGGGAGGGATGGAGTAGCAGCGCTGCAACTGGTACTCAAAGGATCTGGGAGGGTTAAAGAGGGGGAAAGGAGGGGCGTATTAAAGAGGTGAGGTGGAGAGGGGGAGAAAGGAAGGGCGGATGGGAAAGAAGGAGCAGCACGAGTCAATGTCATGGCGCTCTGCAGCTGACACTCCACAAACACATGCACTTCATAATCACTGCATACCTTCTACTGAGCGCTTGTAGAAAGTTGGAGATGTTGCCAATAAGCAGTGCGAGCAGCACGAGCCCCAGCCCTATAACGAGGATGACAAAGAGCACCTCGGGATCCCACCTAGACGGCTCCAGGTTGCCTGCTAGCGTGCTCACTTGCTGTGTGGTGTGGGGGGGGGGGGGGGGAATGTGGGGGGGAGGAAGGGTGGGGGATGGGATGACAAAGAGCACCTCGGGATCCCACCTAGACGGCTCCAGGTTTCCTGCTAGCGTGCTCACTTGATGTGTGGTGTGGGGGGCGGGGGGGGAGGGGTGGGGGATGGGATGACAAGGGAGGGAGCCTATGTTTGAGGCACATCGGGATCCCACCTAGACGGCTCCAGGTTACCTGCTAGTGTGCTCACTTGCTGTGGGAAAGGGGGTGCGGGGTTGATAGAAAGACACGAGAGTCATTTTCTGGGGCAAATAAAAGATAGACGGCTGCAGATTTCCTGCCAGGGTGCTCACTTGCTTTGAGGGTGGTGATGAGAGGAGAGGGGATGGAGAGGTAAAGGAGATAGTATTTGAGCGTTTTCTCTAGAAACATAACAAGGGGGCGAGTTACATATGCCAAGACAGAGGAAGGCAGGCACGCACCTGTAAGGCCCAGAAGGGGTGGATGGATATGTTATGAGAGGAACAAGGTGGCCTTGTAACAAAAACAGACTGAGGCATACCCACGCACCTGGAAACCCCAGAAGGAGTAGTACTTGGAGAGAAACGCCCCTTGTGCCACGAGGGGAGGTCGCTGATGTGTAGAGTCACGCACTAGTTACCAGGTGAGAGAGGTGAAGTCACCGGGTGGATAGGGCAGGGACGCACCTGGAAGCCCCAGAAGAAGGAGTAGATGTACTTGGAGAGAAACGCCCCTTCTGCCACAAAAAAGGTCAGTGATGCGCAGAATCACACACTAGTTACCAACCAACCAGGTGAGGTGAAGTCACCAGGTGAGTACCCACCTGGAAGCCCCAGAAGAAGGAGTAGATGTACTTGGAGAGAAACGCCCCTTCCACCACGAGGGGAACAGCGTTGGTGAAGATGCCGTAATCAATTGGGGTAGGCGGGGCGTCACTGCTCGGATTGTCCAGCACCAGGCACGCGCTGGCAGGGCCTGTGGCCCATGCTGCCTCTGCTGCTGTGTTCTGGTAGGCGATGGCGTTTTGGTCGACACAGTACATGTACTCGGGCTGGCACGCGTCGCCCTGAGCGGCACACTGGCCTGCCATACATGTGGTGAAGCGCTGCAGAGAGAGGGAGGGGAGGGGTAGAGGGGGGTTAGGAAGGAGGGTGTGGTCAACACGGTACATGTACTCAGGCTGACAGGCATCTAGTTGAGAGGTACAGGCGCCTGCTAGACATGTTGTGGCAGGGGGGAGGGGGACGGAAGGTAGGGAAGGGGGTGCAGGGAATGGGATTACGAGAGGGTGTTACTGCACTCTCTACAGGGGGGTGGAGGGGGTTGAGGATAGGCGACAGAGTGGGGAGGTGTGGGGAGGACATGTGCAAGACATGACAAGCAAATGACATGTTTTGAGACGTCTCAAAACACACTCACCGAGGAAGCGAGGAAGTAAGTCGATTTTTGAGTCGACTCAAAAAGCGAGGAAGTACCACATGCTGCCGACAATGTTGGACGCCATGAGATGAGATCGAACACGAAGTTGAGAGGGGGCAGTTGGTGCTTCTGGAGGGCTGATATCTTGCCTAAGAAGTGCAGTGGCGCCTCAAGACAGAAAAATATAGGCCAAACAGAATGCACTCACCGAGGCAGCCGCGACAAACCACTCACCGAGGCAGCCGCGACAAACCACTCACCGAGGCAGCCGCGACAAACCACTCACCGAGGCAGCCGCGACAAACCACTCACCGAGGCAGCCGCGACAAACCACTCACCGAGGCAGCCGCGACAAACCACTCACCGAGGCAGCCGCGACAAACCACTCACCGAGGCAGCCGCGACAAACCACTCACCGAGGCAGCCGCGACAAACCACTCACCGAGGCAGCCGCGACAAACCACTCACCGAGGCAGCCGCGACAAACCACTCACCGAGGCAGCCGCGACAAACCACTCACCGAGGCAGCCGCGACAAACCACTCACCGAGGCAGCCGCGACAAACCACTCACCGAGGCAGCCGCGACAAACCACTCACCGAGGCAGCCGCGACAAACCACTCACCGAGGCAGCCGCGACAAACCACTCACCGAGGCAGCCGCGACAAACCACTCACCGAGGCAGCCGCGACAAACCACTCACCGAGGCAGCCGCGACAAACCACTCACCGAGGCAGCCGCGACAAACCACTCACCGAGGCAGCCGCGACAAACCACTCACCGAGGCAGCCGCGACAAACCACTCACCGAGGCAGCCGCGACAAACCACTCACCGAGGCAGCCGCGACAAACCACTCACCGAGGCAGCCGCGACAAACCACTCACCGAGGCAGCCGCGACAAACCACTCACCGAGGCAGCCGCGACAAACCACTCACCGAGGCAGCCGCGACAAACCACTCACCGAGGCAGCCGCGACAAACCACTCACCGAGGCAGCCGCGACAAACCACTCACCGAGGCAGCCGCGACAAACCACTCACCGAGGCAGCCGCGACAAACCACTCACCGAGGCAGCCGCGACAAACCACTCACCGAGGCAGCCGCGACAAACCACTCACCGAGGCAGCCGCGACAAACCACTCACCGAGGCAGCCGCGACAAACCACTCACCGAGGCAGCCGCGACAAACCACTCACCGAGGCAGCCGCGACAAACCACTCACCGAGGCAGCCGCGACAAACCACTCACCGAGGCAGCCGCGACAAACCACTCACCGAGGCAGCCGCGACAAACCACTCACCGAGGCAGCCGCGACAAACCACTCACCGAGGCAGCCGCGACAAACCACTCACCGAGGCAGCCGCGACAAACCACTCACCGAGGCAGCCGCGACAAACCACTCACCGAGGCAGCCGCGACAAACCACTCACCGAGGCAGCCGCGACAAACCACTCACCGAGGCAGCCGCGACAAACCACTCACCGAGGCAGCCGCGACAAACCACTCACCGAGGCAGCCGCGACAAACCACTCACCGAGGCAGCCGCGACAAACCACTCACCGAGGCAGCCGCGACAAACCACTCACCGAGGCAGCCGCGACAAACCACTCACCGAGGCAGCCGCGACAAACCACTCACCGAGGCAGCCGCGACAAACCACTCACCGAGGCAGCCGCGACAAACCACTCACCGAGGCAGCCGCGACAAACCACTCACCGAGGCAGCCGCGACAAACCACTCACCGAGGCAGCCGCGACAAACCACTCACCGAGGCAGCCGCGACAAACCACTCACCGAGGCAGCCGCGACAAACCACTCACCGAGGCAGCCGCGACAAACCACTCACCGAGGCAGCCGCGACAAACCACTCACCGAGGCAGCCGCGACAAACCACTCACCGAGGCAGCCGCGACAAACCACTCACCGAGGCAGCCGCGACAAACCACTCACCGAGGCAGCCGCGACAAACCACTCACCGAGGCAGCCGCGACAAACCACTCACCGAGGCAGCCGCGACAAACCACTCACCGAGGCAGCCGCGACAAACCACTCACCGAGGCAGCCGCGACAAACCACTCACCGAGGCAGCCGCGACAAACCACTCACCGAGGCAGCCGCGACAAACCACTCACCGAGGCAGCCGCGACAAACCACTCACCGAGGCAGCCGCGACAAACCACTCACCGAGGCAGCCGCGACAAACCACTCACCGAGGCAGCCGCGACAAACCACTCACCCGAGGAAGGAAACCACTCACCGAGGCAGCCGCGACACAACCACTCACCGAGGCAGCCGCGACAAACCACTCACCGAGGCAGCCGCGACAAACCACTCACCGAGGCAGCCGCGACAAACCACTCACCGAGGCAGCCGCGACAAACCACTCACCGAGGCAGCCGCGACAAACCACTCACCGAGGCAGCCGCGACAAACCACTCACCGAGGCAGCCGCGACAAACCACTCACCGAGGCAGCCGCGACAAACCACTCACCGAGGCAGCCGCGACAAACCACTCACCGAGGCAGCCGCGACAAACCACTCACCGAGGCAGCCGCGACAAACCACTCACCGAGGCAGCCGCGACAAACCACTCACCGAGGCAGCCGCGACAAACCACTCACCGAGGCAGCCGCGACAAACCACTCACCGAGGCAGCCGCGACAAACCACTCACCGAGGCAGCCGCGACAAACCACTCACCGAGGCAGCCGCGACAAACCACTCACCGAGGCAGCCGCGACAAACCACTCACCGAGGCAGCCGCGACAAACCACTCACCGAGGCAGCCGCGACAAACCACTCACCGAGGCAGCCGCGACAAACCACTCACCGAGGCAGCCGCGACAAACCACTCACCGAGGCAGCCGCGACAAACCACTCACCGAGGCAGCCGCGACAAACCACTCACCGAGGCAGCCGCGACAAACCACTCACCGAGGCAGCCGCGACAAACCACTCACCGAGGCAGCCGCGACAAACCACTCACCGAGGCAGCCGCGACAAACCACTCACCGAGGCAGCCGCGACAAACCACTCACCGAGGCAGCCGCGACAAACCACTCACCGAGGCAGCCGCGACAAACCACTCACCGAGGCAGCCGCGACAAACCACTCACCGAGGCAGCCGCGACAAACCACTCACCGAGGCAGCCGCGACAAACCACTCACCGAGGCAGCCGCGACAAACCACTCACCGAGGCAGCCGCGACAAACCACTCACCGAGGCAGCCGCGACAAACCACTCACCGAGGCAGCCGCGACAAACCACTCACCGAGGCAGCCGCGACAAACCACTCACCGAGGCAGCCGCGACAAACCACTCACCGAGGCAGCCGCGACAAACCACTCACCGAGGCAGCCGCGACAAACCACTCACCGAGGCAGCCGCGACAAACCACTCACCGAGGCAGCCGCGACAAACCACTCACCGAGGCAGCCGCGACAAACCACTCACCGAGGCAGCCGCGACAAACCACTCACCGAGGCAGCCGCGACAAACCACTCACCGAGGCAGCCGCGACAAACCACTCACCGAGGCAGCCGCGACAAACCACTCACCGAGGCAGCCGCGACAAACCACTCACCGAGGCAGCCGCGACAAACCACTCACCGAGGCAGCCGCGACAAACCACTCACCGAGGCAGCCGCGACAAACCACTCACCGAGGCAGCCGCGACAAACCACTCACCGAGGCAGCCGCGACAAACCACTCACCGAGGCAGCCGCGACAAACCACTCACCGAGGCAGCCGCGACAAACCACTCACCGAGGCAGCCGCGACAAACCACTCACCGAGGCAGCCGCGACAAACCACTCACCGAGGCAGCCGCGACAAACCACTCACCGAGGCAGCCGCGACAAACCACTCACCGAGGCAGCCGCGACAAACCACTCACCGAGGCAGCCGCGACAAACCACTCACCGAGGCAGCCGCGACAAACCACTCACCGAGGCAGCCGCGACAAACCACTCACCGAGGCAGCCGCGACAAACCACTCACCGAGGCAGCCGCGACAAACCACTCACCGAGGCAGCCGCGACAAACCACTCACCGAGGCAGCCGCGACAAACCACTCACCGAGGCAGCCGCGACAAACCACTCACCGAGGCAGCCGCGACAAACCACTCACCGAGGCAGCCGCGACAAACCACTCACCGAGGCAGCCGCGACAAACCACTCACCGAGGCAGCCGCGACAAACCACTCACCGAGGCAGCCGCGACAAACCACTCACCGAGGCAGCCGCGACAAACCACTCACCGAGGCAGCCGCGACAAACCACTCACCGAGGCAGCCGCGACAAACCACTCACCGAGGCAGCCGCGACAAACCACTCACCGAGGCAGCCGCGACAAACCACTCACCGAGGCAGCCGCGACAAACCACTCACCGAGGCAGCCGCGACAAACCACTCACCGAGGCAGCCGCGACAAACCACTCACCGAGGCAGCCGCGACAAACCACTCACCGAGGCAGCCGCGACAAACCACTCACCGAGGCAGCCGCGACAAACCACTCACCGAGGCAGCCGCGACAAACCACTCACCGAGGCAGCCGCGACAAACCACTCACCGAGGCAGCCGCGACAAACCACTCACCGAGGCAGCCGCGACAAACCACTCACCGAGGCAGCCGCGACAAACCACTCACCGAGGCAGCCGCGACAAACCACTCACCGAGGCAGCCGCGACAAACCACTCACCGAGGCAGCCGCGACAAACCACTCACCGAGGCAGCCGCGACAAACCACTCACCGAGGCAGCCGCGACAAACCACTCACCGAGGCAGCCGCGACAAACCACTCACCGAGGCAGCCGCGACAAACCACTCACCGAGGCAGCCGCGACAAACCACTCACCGAGGCAGCCGCGACAAACCACTCACCGAGGCAGCCGCGACAAACCACTCACCGAGGCAGCCGCGACAAACCACTCACCGAGGCAGCCGCGACAAACCACTCACCGAGGCAGCCGCGACAAACCACTCACCGAGGCAGCCGCGACAAACCACTCACCGAGGCAGCCGCGACAAACCACTCACCGAGGCAGCCGCGACAAACCACTCACCGAGGCAGCCGCGACAAACCACTCACCGAGGCAGCCGCGACAAACCACTCACCGAGGCAGCCGCGACAAACCACTCACCGAGGCAGCCGCGACAAACCACTCACCGAGGCAGCCGCGACAAACCACTCACCGAGGCAGCCGCGACAAACCACTCACCGAGGCAGCCGCGACAAACCACTCACCGAGGCAGCCGCGACAAACCACTCACCGAGGCAGCCGCGACAAACCACTCACCGAGGCAGCCGCGACAAACCACTCACCGAGGCAGCCGCGACAAACCACTCACCGAGGCAGCCGCGACAAACCACTCACCGAGGCAGCCGCGACAAACCACTCACCGAGGCAGCCGCGACAAACCACTCACCGAGGCAGCCGCGACAAACCACTCACCGAGGCAGCCGCGACAAACCACTCACCGAGGCAGCCGCGACAAACCACTCACCGAGGCAGCCGCGACAAACCACTCACCGAGGCAGCCGCGACAAACCACTCACCGAGGCAGCCGCGACAAACCACTCACCGAGGCAGCCGCGACAAACCACTCACCGAGGCAAGCGCGACAAACCACTCACCGAGGCAGCCGCGACAAACCACTCACCGAGGCAGCCGCGACAACACCACCGAGCATCCCCACCCGAGGCAGCCGCGACAAACCACTCACCGAGGCAGCCGCGACAAACCACTCACCGAGGCAGCCGCGACAAACCACTCACCGAGGCAGCCGCGACAAACCACTCACCGAGGCAGCCGCGACAAACCACTCACCGAGGCAGCCGCGACAAACCACTCACCGAGGCAGCCGCGACAAACCACTCACCGAGGCAGCCGCGACAAACCACTCACCGAGGCAGCCGCGACAAACCACTCACCGAGGCAGCCGCGACAAACCACTCACCGAGGCAGCCGCGACAAACCACTCACCGAGGCAGCCGCGACAAACCACTCACCGAGGCAGCCGCGACAAACCACTCACCGAGGCAGCCGCGACAAACCACTCACCGAGGCAGCCGCGACAAACCACTCACCGAGGCAGCCGCGACAAACCACTCACCGAGGCAGCCGCGACAAACCACTCACCGAGGCAGCCGCGACAAACCACTCACCGAGGCAGCCGCGACAAACCACTCACCGAGGCAGCCGCGACAAACCACTCACCGAGGCAGCCGCGACAAACCACTCACCGAGGCAGCCGCGACAAACCACTCACCGAGGCAGCCGCGACAAACCACTCACCGAGGCAGCCGCGACAAACCACTCACCGAGGCAGCCGCGACAAACCACTCACCGAGGCAGCCGCGACAAACCACTCACCGAGGCAGCCGCGACAAACCACTCACCGAGGCAGCCGCGACAAACCACTCACCGAGGCAGCCGCGACAAACCACTCACCGAGGCAGCCGCGACAAACCACTCACCGAGGCAGCCGCGACAAACCACTCACCGAGGCAGCCGCGACAAACCACTCACCGAGGCAGCCGCGACAAACCACTCACCGAGGCAGCCGCGACAAACCACTCACCGAGGCAGCCGCGACAAACCACTCACCGAGGCAGCCGCGACAAACCACTCACCGAGGCAGCCGCGACAAACCACTCACCGAGGCAGCCGCGACAAACCACTCACCGAGGCAGCCGCGACAAACCACTCACCGAGGCAGCCGCGACAAACCACTCACCGAGGCAGCCGCGACAAACCACTCACCGAGGCAGCCGCGACAAACCACTCACCGAGGCAGCCGCGACAAACCACTCACCGAGGCAGCCGCGACAAACCACTCACCGAGGCAGCCGCGACAAACCACTCACCGAGGCAGCCGCGACAAACCACTCACCGAGGCAGCCGCGACAAACCACTCACCGAGGCAGCCGCGACAAACCACTCACCGAGGCAGCCGCGACAAACCACTCACCGAGGCAGCCGCGACAAACCACTCACCGAGGCAGCCGCGACAAACCACTCACCGAGGCAGCCGCGACAAACCACTCACCGAGGCAGCCGCGACAAACCACTCACCGAGGCAGCCGCGACAAACCACTCACCGAGGCAGCCGCGACAAACCACTCACCGAGGCAGCCGCGACAAACCACTCACCGAGGCAGCCGCGACAAACCACTCACCGAGGCAGCCGCGACAAACCACTCACCGAGGCAGCCGCGACAAACCACTCACCGAGGCAGCCGCGACAAACCACTCACCGAGGCAGCCGCGACAAACCACTCACCGAGGCAGCCGCGACAAACCACTCACCGAGGCAGCCGCGACAAACCACTCACCGAGGCAGCCGCGACAAACCACTCACCGAGGCAGCCGCGACAAACCACTCACCGAGGCAGCCGCGACAAACCACTCACCGAGGCAGCCGCGACAAACCACTCACCGAGGCAGCCGCGACAAAACCACTCACCGAGGCAGCCGCGACAAACCACTCACCGAGGCAGCCGCGACAAACCACTCACCGAGGCAGCCGCGACAAACCACTCACCGAGGCAGCCGCGACAAACCACTCACCGAGGCAGCCGCGACAAACCACTCACCGAGGCAGCCGCGACAAACCACTCACCGAGGCAGCCGCGACAAACCACTCACCGAGGCAGCCGCGACAAACCACTCACCGAGGCAGCCGCGACAAACCACTCACCGAGGCAGCCGCGACAAACCACTCACCGAGGCAGCCGCGACAAACCACTCACCGAGGCAGCCGCGACAAACCACTCACCGAGGCAGCCGCGACAAACCACTCACCGAGGCAGCCGCGACAAACCACTCACCGAGGCAGCCGCGACAAACCACTCACCGAGGCAGCCGCGACAAACCACTCACCGAGGCAGCCGCGACAAACCACTCACCGAGGCAGCCGCGACAAACCACTCACCGAGGCAGCCGCGACAAACCACTCACCGAGGCAGCCGCGACAAAACCACTCACCGAGGCAGCCGCGACAAACCACTCACCGAGGCAGCCGCGACAAACCACTCACCGAGGCAGCCGCGACAAACCACTCACCGAGGCAGCCGCGACAAACCACTCACCGAGGCAGCCGCGACAAACCACTCACCGAGGCAGCCGCGACAAACCACTCACCGAGGCAGCCGCGACAAACCACTCACCGAGGCAGCCGCGACAAACCACTCACCGAGGCAGCCGCGACAAACCACTCACCGAGGCAGCCGCGACAAACCACTCACCGAGGCAGCCGCGACAAACCACTCACCGAGGCAGCCGCGACAAACCACTCACCGAGGCAGCCGCGACAAACCACTCACCGAGGCAGCCGCGACAAACCACTCACCGAGGCAGCCGCGACAAACCACTCACCGAGGCAGCCGCGACAAACCACTCACCGAGGCAGCCGCGACAAACCACTCACCGAGGCAGCCGCGACAAACCACTCACCGAGGCAGCCGCGACAAACCACTCACCGAGGCAGCCGCGACAAACCACTCACCGAGGCAGCCGCGACAAACCACTCACCGAGGCAGCCGCGACAAACCACTCACCGAGGCAGCCGCGACAAACCACTCACCGAGGCGGCGAGGAAGTACCACATGCTGCCGACGATGTTGGACGCCATGAGGTAGAACACAAAGTTGAGGAGGAAATTCGCCCACGCCGTCTCAAACACGAGCCCGGTGACGTGCGGCGCGTTGCCCGAGAGGATGGGGAAGAAGCGGATGGCGCGGGGCACGTTCTGAGCGAAGAGGGCTGCGAGGCAGAGGACGGTCATGGCGACACCCGTGTTGGAGGGGACTGATCGACCCATCATTGGCACTATCACCAGCATCACTATCTGGGGGTGGGGGTGGGGTTGGAGGGTGAGGCAGAACTGGCTCGAAGAAGTGGGGAAAGATGGATTGGAGGAGAACAGGAAGGGAGGACACAGCATGGTTAAACAGGGGCACAGCAGGAGCGACTAGCCATGGCTCGCGAGTAAGTCTGACCTGGGGTGGCCCTCACCTGGGGGATGGGCAGGGCGGCCAGCACGTCAATGAGGAACCAGGAGCGCAGGTAGCGGCTGGCAATGACGCGCGCGTCAAACTCGAGGTCGCCCGGGCTCTGCAGGGAGCGGTCGGCCCACCAGCGGCGGAAGAAGCGGTTCTTGCGGTTCGTGGGGGGCGGGACGATGTAGGCCATGCGGAACTGGGGGGAGTGAAGTTGTAGGGTTTGGAGTTTGGGGCATGGGAGAGGGGGATTGGAGGGGTGGAAGAGGGTGTGCTCTCCTGGGGGCTCTGCAGGGAGCGGTCGGCCCACCAGCGGCGGAAGAAGCGATTCTTGCAGTTGGTGGGGGGCGGCACTATGTAGGTCATGTGGAACTGGTGGGGATGCAGGGATAGCAGGGGGGTTGGCGGGTGAAAATGAATTTGGGGGGGAGTTAGAGGGTACTTGGGTAAGAGTTGAGGTTTGGGGTTTCGGGTTCAGGGTTTGGAAGTGGAGGTTTGGGAGCGTGAAAGAGGGTGCAATCACCTGGGCTCTGTTGGTTCGCCAGCTGGCAGCAGACGAAATAATTACTGCGATTGGTTGGTTCGGTGGTGGGATGAGATGGCGATGCAGGCCACGTTGCAGTAAGTGGGGAGGGGGTATGGGTGGGTGGGTGGGAAGATGCCTGGAGCATGTTAGGAATGAATGAATGATGCAGCACAGCATAGCTGCAGAAGTATATTAATCGAAGCCGAAACTGAGACAACGTGGTTGGCAACTTGGGGCAATTGGCAGTGGTGTGGTCGGTAAGTGCGTCACCTGCACGACGATCTGAAGGACGTAGCAGAGGTCCACGCAGGAGCGCAGCACAGCAAGATGCCCTTTGAGTCGACTCAAGAAGAGGAATGTGGAAAGTAGTCGGTAAATTTGTCACCTGAACGACGATCTGAAGGACATAGCAGAGGTCCACAAAGGAGCGCTGCACAGCACAGCAAGATGCCTTTTGAGTCGACTCAAGACGAGGAATGTGGGCAGCAGTCGGTAAGATTGTTACCTGAACGACGATCTGAAGGACGTAGCAGAGGTCTACGAAGGAGCGCAGCACAGTGAAGGCGATGGCTGCCGTCCAGTCCAGAGTGAGGCACAGCATGGCCTGGTGAAGGGTGGGAGAGAATGGTTTGTGAGTCGACTCGATCGGTTGGACATTGCTTGAGTCAACCCAAGAAGCAGCGACGGCGACGATGGCTGCCGTCCAGTCGAGAGTGAGGCACAGCATGGCCTGGTGAAGGGCACAGGATGGGGGTTGAGGAATGGCTCTAGTTGGTCCACACAGGGTGTGACGGATTGCTTTAATTGATGCAGAGAAAATAGGGACGGCATGCCGCATGCATGCATAGGGGCATAAGGCCCATGCCTGCAATCCTATCCCGTTCTCCTTCATTCCCTCCCTCCCTCACTCCCTCACTCCCTCACTCCCTCCCTCCCTCACTCACTCACTCACTCCCTCCCTCATCCCCTCGCTCCCTCCCTCCCTCCCTCCCTCTCACCGGCTGGGGCGCCACTTGATTCAGCGCCTGCAGCGTAAAGAGGAACCAGGGATCGATGATAAACCCGAGGATGCACGCCACCATGAACACCTTGTTCCACCGCGCCATCAACTTGGAGTGCTGCCGTGCGCCTCACTCCCTCCCTCACTCACTCCCTCACTCCCTCACTCACTCCCTCACACCCTCCCCCACTCGTTCCTTCACTCCCTCGCCCCCCCTCACCGGCTGGGGCGCCACTTGATTCAGCGCCTGCAGCGTAAAGAGGAACCAGGGATCGATGATAAATCCGAGGATGGACGCGACCATGAACACCTTGTTCCACCGCGCCATGAACTTGGAGTGCTGCCATGCGCCTCACTTCCTCTCTCACACACTCACTCCCTCACTTCCTCACTCACTCCCTTACACCCTCCCTCTCTCACTACCTCAACCCCTCCCTCCCTCCCTCCCTCCCTCCCTCCCTCCCTCCCTCCCTCCCTCCCTCCCTCCCTCCCTCCCTCCCTCCCTCCCTCCCTCGCTCCCTCGCTCCCTCTCACCGGCTGGGGAGCCACTTGATTGAGCGCCTGGAGGGTGAAGAGGAACCAGGGATCGATGATAAATCCGAGGATAGATGCGACCATGAACACCTTGTTCCACCGTGCCATGAACTTGGAGTGCGGGTTCAGGATGCCCCATGGCTGCCACAGCATGCTGACGGGCTGAAAGAAGTCCTGCACGTCCTCCCATGCCTTGGTCCACCGTGACTTGCGCTTCTTGCGCTTCGGCGGCTGGGTGGGGTGGGATGGGGAGGGTGAGATGGCAAGGGTGAGGGAGCGAGAGAGGAGGAGGGGGGTTCAGGATGCCCCATGGCTGCCACAGCATGCTGATGGGCTGAAAGAAGTCCTGCACGTCCTCCCAGGCTTTGGTCCACCGTGACTTGCGCTTCTTGCGATTCGGCGGCTGGGTGGGGTGGGATGGGGAGGGTGAGATGGCAAGGGTGAGGGAGCGAGAGAGGAGGAGGGGGGTTCAGGATGCCCCATGGCTGCCACAGCATGCTGATGGGCTGAAAGAAGTCCTGCACGTCCTCCCAGGCTTTGGTCCACCGTGACTTGCGCTTCTTGCGCTTCGGCGGCTGGGTGGGGGGGTGATAGCAGGGTGAGGGGGAGAGAAAGGAGGGGAGGCGGGTTCAGGATGTCCTGCACGTCCTACCAGGCTTTGGTCCACCGTGACTTGCGCTTCTTGCGCTTCGGCGGCTGGGTGGGGTGGGATGGGGAGGGTGAGATGGCAAGGGTGAGGGAGCGAGAGAGGAGGAGGGGGGTTCAGGATGCCCCACGGCTGCCACAGCATGCTGATGGGCTGAAAGAAGTCCTGCACGTCCTCCCAGGCTTTGGTCCACCGTGACTTGCGCTTCTTGCGCTTCGGCGGCTGGGTGGGGGGGTGATAGCAGGGTGAGGGGGAGAGAAAGGAGGGGAGGCGGGTTCAGGATGTCCTGCACGTCCTACCAGGCTTTGGTCCACCGTGACTTGCGCTTCTTGCGCTTCGGCGGCTGGGTGGGGTGGGATGGGGAGGGTGAGATGGCAAGGGTGAGGGAGCGAGAGAGGAGGAGGGGGGTTCAGGATGCCCCACGGCTGCCACAGCATGCTGACGGGCTGAAAGAAGTCCTGCACATCCTGCCACGCCTTGGTCCACCGTGACTTGCGCTTCGGCTGGGGGAGAGTGTTTGCAGGAGGGGGTTAAGGCTGAGAAATGAGCCGGAAAGATGGAGGAGGATGGGGAGGGATGCAGACTGCAGTGCTATGGGATGCGGCGAAGGTTGCAAAAGCCTCTTCTTGGACAGGACGGAGCAAAAACCTCACCTTTAGAATTAAACAAATAATTCTCCTCACCTTGGAGGTGTATGTGAAGCAGGTGACTCCACAGAAGCGCACAATCGTCCTCTGCCCCTGCTCCGCGTCATAATCATACCCATAATCATCATCATCATCGTCATCATCATCATCAAAATCATAATCACTGTCATCATCATCATCCCCTCCTCCTCCCCTTCCGCCTCCCCTTCCCCCTCTCCTTGTCGGCCTCGCCATGGGCTCCGGAAACTCGTCTATAACCTGAGCCATGAGTTTCTTATTCCGCAGAGCATGCATTTCCGGCGGGCACGCGTTACACGTCGGATCCATACACATCATCATAGATTTCTGCACTTTCTTGGTTGCGGTAGTGGGGTTCCCACCAGCGGTAGGGGTCATGGGTCCCCCTTGGCCCCCCACAGACCCTGGCAGCTGCAATCCCGTGGGTTTTGAGAAGCCTGACGCGAATTGGACGGACATGCGCCGCTGCCGCGCGGCTGCCGCGGCGGCGCTGCCCGGAGTGAGCATGTGGCGCGTTCCCCCCGCGCCAGGGATGCCTCCCCCGATGGAGTCGTGGCGCTGCCGGCGGAATGGGTCTTGGGGGATACTATCGGAGCCTGTTATAGGGAGGACGAGGCAGAGCAGGTTCATGGAATAAAGTCACGAATGCATCTCGCCTCTGCAAGGGAGAGAGCGGGTGGGAGAGAACAAGAAAGACAAAACAGAGGGAAGCGAGAAGAGGAATTGGCTGGGCAGAACGAACGGACCTGAAGCGCTTGGCTGGTTGGGCCGAGTGAAGATTGCAGAGGCAGTCGTCCGTGCACGGCGGGCGTTAGGCTTGGGCGCGAGCAAGTCAGGAGCTTCGGACGACAGTGCGCGGGAGTGACGAGGCTTGGATGGAGGAGGGACTGTAGCCGCGGGTGTGATCGATGGCGGCGGGGCGTCTGGCGTATCGAACTTCACCTTCCTTTCCCCTCCTCCTCCTCCTCCGCCGCTAGCGCCGCTAATTCCGCCGCTAATCACGCCGCTGAGCCCTCCGCTGAACCCAATACCTGCTATGTCGCCAGCACCACCAAATAAACTTCCGCTTCTATCCCCTCCTCCCCCTACGCTTCCCCCCCCCCGGCTGGCTTTCCAGGCGGAGCTTTCAGAGCGAGGAATTTCGCCCGAGGCTCCTAAGAGTCCCACTCCGCTTCCCATGGATCCCGATTCCGACTCGGGCGAATCCGAGTCTGAGTCATCGCCGTCGTCGTTCCACGATAGGCCGCCTATCCGAGCCGGGAACTTAGGCTGGGGAAAGTCCATGTTGCACCGAGCCTGACGAGACGTCAAGAACCTGACCCAAGCCTAGCGCTAGAGTAGCAGCCTAATGTAAGGCCTTCGGCATAGTACAGACTAACAGGGGCTAATACTCTGACTCCATAAATACGACGATACCACCACTGGCTGCTTATACGGGAAAATTCTATGGTTATTCAGGAGTTTTGAAATCTCATATAATTACAACAATGCTACTGTTCGTGTGAAGTCCAAATGTCATACTAGCTTGAACTGTAGGGCCGTGCATTGTACTATAGCAGTTTGATTCCGCAAATTGCGGTTCCACAAGAAGAGGCTTTTGTCGAGGCAATGGCTACAGCTTGCTGGATGCGGAGTTTCGTTCCTGATTACGGAAACTGATAACCTCACTGAACCCAAAGAGCATGTCACGCATAATCACTACTTGGATTATAAGCTTGGAATGAAGGTCATTGTACGATCTTAATGAGGCCTTGCGTTGAAAATCCCATCATCAACGGTGATCGTGGAAACCGCAGCTCCCATACGGCCAAGTCGCGGCTTCAAAAGCCGCTGGTTGAAAAGGATACGCTAGGTGAAGCGAGCTAGGCGGAACTACTGAAAGGTTCATTTCACTAGCAGAATGGCCTGACCTATGTTATGAAGACTGCTAGTGTGGCTGGCGTACCGACAAGCAGAATGACCTGAACTGAAGTTCTCTGAATATCAGTGAATGAGTTGTTGTGAGGTGAGGTAAAGATGGTGGAGAACGGCTTTGCGTGGTGGCGACTGGTGGTGAGTGGTACTGATGAGATGGTGTGGATGAAAGGTGATCTTTAGGGCCCAGCGGTATGGTCATGATGAGATGGGACGAATGGGACGACGACGATCTCAAAGACCGAGGCGAAGTGGTAGGTGCGGTGACGCGTGACAGCTTCGCTGATAGCGAGGATGATGAAACCGACGCTGCAGGCACTCTCGACAAACACCAAGAGAACATCGTCGAAAGTACACCGTTCTGTTTACTTTTACGGATAAATCTTTCAAACTTATTACAAGGAGCCTCATGAAATGCTGACTGCTGTTCCTGAACTTCATTCCCAAATCAATAACGGCTTCAGATACCTGTTCATATGCTTCACTTCAGAAATAATTCTGTCTGTGAGGTTGGGATGGATCACAGAATGGTCGGGAGACCATAACTCGGTTGAGCGTGCCATGTCACGGCTTCTAGTCAGCTCATCAGTGGCTCTAAAGCGAAGCTCTGGTTCTTGATACACCAACGCAACCTAAAAAGCAACCGAGGAAATTAAAAAACACAGGCAAGCAACACAATGTTACGGTGGACGCACTATTGGAGCTTGGATGGAAGCAGGAGAATTTAACATGAAGAAAAGGGGACAAGCGACATAAATACTAATGCAGAAGCAACAGAAAACAAAATGCAGAAATACTATTTCACATACCTGATGGCCCGAGAGCCACACATGTTGGCAAAGGTCCCAATCCGATAGCGCATCTATACCTCCATCAACCGCACTGAACCCCCCAACCTTCACAAACACGTCTCGCCTCGCCGCCATTGGCCCTGTCACCGTCCCAAGAACAAAGCTCATCCTCACCCCTGTCACCGGATCTCTCAATCTGTTCCAAAACTGGTCCCCAGCGTTCCGCACCTCCCCCAGCTGCAGGCTTCCTGGAACGTTCCTCAGCCCCATCTTCCCCATCGCATGCCCTGCAATCCCCAGCCGGGGCCAGGCCGAGAAAGGCGCGACGAGATTCGCCGCCCAGTCGCAGGAGTCGGGCGGCAGATCGCCGCCCGCGAGGAGAATGAGGACGGAGCCGCGGGCGAGGAGGGAGAGGAGGTTGTAGGCTCGGGCTGCGCCCATACGGGTTGGCGCGAGGATGTGCGTGAGGAACGAACCTGGGGAGGTTCGGCGGGTGGCTCGGATCCAATCCGCAGGGTTGTAATACTTTTCAAACCCTGGCACTGTTCCTGGTATACCTTCACTACTGCTGCTGCTGCTGCTGTCACTGCCGCCGCCGCCACCACTGCTGCTGCTGCTGTTGCTATCCCCACTGCCACTCCCACCCCCACCCGCTGTTTTCCCACGGCGGACCATGGCAGAGGCTTGGTGCAGGGGAATGGACGGGCCGTCCAAAAGCACTAAAGCTTCAGATGTGAGCCCTCCCAGCCGCCCGCCTATGCTGCCCGCCCTCAGCCGCCCGTGCGTGCACTCGTACAGCTTGTTGACGAGATCCAGGGCGGCTGTGGTGGGCGGCGATGTGTAGATTAGGAAGGAAATGTTCACTGCAGCTGCTGATGTGGCGGGTGATGATGTGGCAGATTCTGGGGGTGAGCTGGCACTGGATTGGGCATGAGCATCACCTGTAGCAGCATCTGTAGCAGATGCGGATTGCCCTGCTACAGATGCGCCATCTGTAGCCAGCGATTGAGCCGCCGACGAGAGTAAGGAGGAGAAGCGGGAGGAAGCGGAGGAGGAGAACGGGGAGGAGGCAGGAGGAGAATTGAAGGCGTAGGAGTGAGGAAACGTGGGGAAGGCGGAGGGATGGGTGGGAAAGGAGAGGTCCCATAGGGGTTGTCGCCACAGAGCAGAGGGGGCTAAGGGCTCTGATAGGGGGTCTGAATCTCTCATATGTTCTGAATCTTTGCCCCCACCATCTCCCGCTGCCACTGCTGCTGCTTCTACTTTTGACGCCTCTCCCTTCCTTTCGTTGCTTTTCTCCATCCCCGCTCCTCCTTCTGTCTCTCTGCTGTCCTTGCTTGTTCCGTTCGTTCCTCCTCGCGCTTCTTCTGATATTCGATTGGCCAGAGCACAAGGAGACACGTCAGCACCCTCAGGCCGCACCCAGGAGGTGCTGACGTGGCACAGCTCGGGAAGCTTCGCCTTGGCTTCCTTCACCGCAGCAGAAGCTTGCTCGGCACGAAGTTTAAGCGCCAGAACTGTATCATTCTGGGCGTTAACTAAGCTTTGCATGGACGACACGCGCGAGGGGTGGTGGTCGGTGGAGAGGAGTATGGATGGGAAGTGGGAAGCGGAGAAGAGGAGATCCGCCCACAATGATGCTTCTGCTGGACATACGAGGGAGGGAAAGGGGAGAGGGGTTTGAGGGAGAGGGTGGGTGGTGGAGCAGGTTGGGCCGCGGTTGGGCTGGTCTCTCAGGCGCTGCACTTTCTATCCACTGCCCGCCTGCTTGAGCACTGATAGAGCCATGAGGAGGAGTGAAAATAAAGCAAGCACACTCACCAGGTGCATCAAGGGAGGAGAGGAAGGCGTTTTTAGCAGCAGGCGAGGAGAGCAGGTTGGGCTGCTCCCGAAGTCGCTGCAGTTTCTCTGCGATGCCTGGCTGTTTAAGTACTGATAGAGCCGTGAGGCGGAGGGAGAGTGTGGCGTGCGCTGCCATGTATGCTTGCATGGCTGATGGGGGGGAGGGGAGAGGAGGAGAGAAAAGAAGGGACAAGACACCACCGTTTTATCCAAATTAAGAAAAATGATGAATAATAATAATAATAACAACAAATGCAAGAATGTGTAGCAGCACAGCAGGAGAATGTGGCATGCAGGTGCAGCTACTCCCGCCGCTATTTGCACTCACCTTGTGTGTGCGCCTGCTGGGCCTCTTGTGTGTGCTGCAGTGCAGCAGCACAGCGGGAGAAGCTGAGGCGCAAGTCAGCGTGCACGGCCCGCTCTATCTCCTCCCGCAGAGACAGCACTCGCACCTGGCCAGTCAGGAAGAGAGGCGGGGTGAGGGGGAGTGGGGGAAGGGGGTGACCTTGAGATGTGTCGAAAATGTCTCTACAAGTCAGCGTGCACGGCCCGCTCTATCTCCTCGCTCAGAGACAGCACCCGCATCTGGTCGGTGTGGGGGAGTGGGGGGTTGGTTGGGTGCGGGGGAAAGGGGGAGGGGGTGGTATTTAATGACTTCAAAATGTCTCTACAAGTCAGCGTGCACGGCCCGCTCTATCTCCTCGCTCAGAGACAGCACCCGCACCTGGCCGGTGTGGGGGAGTGGGGGGTTGGGTGTGGGGGAAGGGGGGAGGCGGTGGTTTTTTAAAGGACTTCAAAATGTCTCAACAAGTCTGCGTGCACGGCTCACTCGATCTCCTCCCGCAGAGACAGCACCCGCACCTGGTCGGTGTGGGGGAGTGGGGGGTTGGGTGTGGGGGAAGGGGGGAGGGGGTGGTGTATTGATGACTTCAAAATGTCTCTACAAATCAGCATGCACGGCTTGCTCTATCTCCTCCCTCAGGGACAGCACTCGCACCTGGCCGGTGTGGGACGAAAAGGGGGGGGGATGGGATTTTGATTGAACCTTCCCACAATTTACCCCAGCAGAAAAATAAGCCCACCCCCACCACACTCCTTGTCCCATGCTCTCACGATCTCCCACCCACCTGTGCTCGCGCCACCAGCTCCCCCTCCTTGGCATCCACATCTGGTCGTCGCCTCGCAGTCAGTGCAGCGATCTCCCTCAGCTCAGCAGGTGGCAATGGCAGGTGCCTGTGACTTCCACTGCCCCCAATCCACATACTCCCACACAGGCATAAGCCCACACTCATGCTCATGCTCTCATACTCACACCCACCCACCTGTGCTCGCGCCACCAGCTCCTCCTCCTTGGCATCCACATCTGGCCGCCGCCTCGCAGTCAGAGCAGCGATCTCCCTCAGCTCTGGGGGGGGCGATGGCAACCCCCTGTCGTCCACCACACTCATGGTATCCTACTCCCATACTCCCACACCCACCTGCGCTCTCACTACCAGCTCCTCCTCCTTGGCATCCACATCTGGTCGCCGTCTGGCTGTCAGTGCAGCGATCTCCCTCAGCTCTGCCGGCGGCGATGCCAGGTGCCTGTCGTCCACATACAAGGTCAGGGCGCGCTGATCCTGCACCAACTTGATCTCCTGGTGGAACGGGGAATTGGAAGGGAGCAGGAGAGGGTGAAGAAAGGTGCCTGTCGTCCACATACAAGGTCAGGGCGCGCTGGTCCTGCACCACCTTGATCTCCTGGTTACCACAAAGTGACAATGTGAACGGAAGCAGAGGGTGGAGAAGATACAGATAAGAGCGGCGACGGCAGGTGCCTGTCGTCCACATAGTAGGTGAGGGCGCGCTGATCCTGCACCACCTTGATCTCCTGGTTACCACAATGTGACGAGACGACCATGTGACGGAAAAGGGAAGTTGGAGGACAAGCAAGTTGAGATGGCGATGGGGATGGATGCAAATGATTCAGGAAAGAGTGAAACGGGAGGGGAAAACGGAACGTAAGCTCACCATTGAGTTGGAATCCTCCAATGCACTCAGAACAGAACGAGGCTGTCGCACAGACGACTTTCGAGGCGCCTCAAAAGTCACTCAGAACGAGGCTGTCGTGTCGCCGCACAGTTCAGTTAAGTACAGTTCACTCCCGCCTCGGAAATGTCCACCTCGAGAACGCTCCCCTCGAAAAAAGCAAACACACCTTGACTGTTTTCCCTGTGAGGATTTTCACTCACCTTGAGAATGCTTTTCAGCTGAGCCATGCGTGTCCGTGCTTCCAGCATCATCATCTGCTGCAGCTTCCCCAGTCGACTAAAAAGCCGCCTCAGAATCTTTCCCTTTAGAGATATTCACCTTGAGAATGCTCACCTTGAGAATGCTCACCTTGAGAATGCTCACCTTGAGAATGCTTTTGAGCTGAGCCATGCGTGTCCGTGCTTCCAGCATCACCCTCTGCCGCAGCTTCACAGTCAACTCAAACGTCACCACAGAATTCTCCCGGAGTAATGTTCACCTTGAGAATGCTCTTGAGCTGAGCCATGCGTGTCCGTGCTTCCAGCATCACCGCCTGCCGCAGCTTCCCCAGTCGACTAAAAAGCCGCCTCAAAATCTTTCCGTTTGGAGATATTCACCTTGAGAATGCTCACCTTGAGAATGCTCACCTTGAGAATGCTCTTGAGCTGAGCCATGCGCGTCCGTGCTTCCAGCATCACCGCCTGCCGCAGCTTCCCCAGCGCACGGCGCAGCTCCGTGTTCCGCACCAGCAGCTCCTCTGCCTCCGCCTGAACGCCTGCCACGTCACCTCTCCACGTGGCATTGCTGGCAGCGTCCACGTCAGCAGGCCCGTCAGCTGCCACAGCAGCAGCAGCTGCCAAGTTGACAGCATCAGCAGATGCTGACAATGACATTGGCGTGGAAACGCCATCAGCAGCAGCAGCGGTTGTGGGAGCGGTGGGTATGAAAGCGATTGGGGAGGAAAAACCGGTTGTTGCTTTGCCAGGGGAAGGGGGGGGAGGTAAGACCTGAAGAGTAAAGTGGGAAGCGAGCAGGAAAGGGGGGGACGGCAATAGAGGGGGCCATACATGGAAGGCATTGTTGAAGCATGCATTGTTGGAAGAGCATACACAAGCTGAGTGGTGCTGTTGTTGATGTTGTTATTCATTATTAGTATACTCTTCAAGTGCAACGTGGCAATAGTTAAGGAAACGGATGGCAGATGCGAAGAGGACAAAAAGCGTAGAGAAGAAGGCATGTAACAAGAGCAGCATAGGCATGGCCTTTCTCCTTTAACCCATCAAATCAAGGTTAAAGTGATGAGATAATTGGTCCAGTAATCCAGGAATTTAATTGGTTGAATAATCCAAACGGGAGACCAGGTGTGCTAATGTTCCGGAAGTCCAGAAGAATTTCTAAGTGCGAAGATTTTGAAAGGGAAAATGTTGAAGACATTAAGGTGGTAAAAAACAAATAAAGGTGGTAAAGAAGAAGGCAGGGGACGAAGGCGGGAACGGTGAGAAGAAAGCAGCACTCACGGCGGGAACAATGGTTGCGGTTAGGATCCCTCCCAAGAGCGAGCCAATGAGAAACGATGCAAACCAGCCGACAGTTGACCGCCTGAGATTGGAGGGACGGTGGAGATCGGATGCTGGCGACGGCTGTACGAGCAGACAGGAGTATACGAGCGGCTGAGATGGAATGCGTTACAGTACCAAACGAATATTTTGATTCTTCTCTTATATTCCACGCGAAGGGCTGAGATGGAATGCGGTACTGTACGGTACCAGGACGAGGTTTTGAATATATTGCTTGATTTTTTACGATCAACGGTCGCCGGAAGATCCTCGTACCTTGACGGAACGTCTTCCGAGCCGCTGGACCTCACTGAAAGTGCTGCCTTGGTTACCACGGCCGTCGCTACATTCGCACTACTCGTTCGCGACGCACCGCTTGTTGGAGCAGGACGACCACTACCTCTCCCTTGACCGAAGCCCCCGGACCGCATCGTCAAGTCCACTAATTATATTAACTTTGCGACATTCCCGTCGGGAAAACAATGTGTTTTGCCAGGATTAGTATTTGTCTTCCTGCTAAAGCAGAAATGCGAGAAACCGGTTTACTAGGTCTTTCAAAGATTCGTATGAGGCTGCAAAATCCACCCGCGACCGGCGGCGAAACCAGCGGCCGCGGATTGCGAGCATGATATGCGAAACTCTGAAAAGGTGAGTGTGCGTTCAAAGAAACACTCGCTATCAGACTAAGTAGTCTATGAGCCACTGTCCCCTGATTTTTCATACGAAGTGATTTTTAAAACTGATTGATTCAAAGCAATTCCATCCCTGTTTCTGTGTATAGTGTGTCAGACTTATCTGCTAGTGAAACTTGACTTAGCAGAGTACCGAATCTCTTGTCCCTGAATTCGACCTTACCGGGCCAATGTTTCCTGGAAAGTTCCTCCCGATACACCCACCAGTGGTGGCAGTAGCGTGTAACATATTTGATGTCGATGGCTCTGCAACAGAGCAAAACATTTTTCAGAGAACATTTACTGTGTTTATACTAGCAAGCCAGAATAGCTGGAAAATGATGGTGCAGAGCAGATGAATTAAATACCGTACCCGAGAGATATGCAAGTGACTACCATCAGCAGAACATCAGTTCAGCAGGAAATCATACACTAGAGCTGTAACTCCATTCGCCACAACCAGCCACCGCCAGTTGCTGCCTGCAATGGGCACCTCGCTACTATCCCCCTCATTATTCTCACCACCATCTACATCACCGCTACCCCACCCATCGCTGCCACCATCACCAGTAGAAGCAGCAGCAGCAGGAGCAGCAGGAGCAGCAGCGGCGGCGGCGGCGGTGGCAACAGAAGAGGGAGTAGCAGAAGCAGAGACAGCTGATTGCGGGTGCAAGAGAGGAAGGTGAGGCAGATAGACCAAGCTCTGGTGGGACTGCTGTGGCGTGTGAGAAGCGGCAGTGGGGACTTGAGTCGTAACTGCTCCAGATGAAACTGCGCCGGATGAAAGTGTATCAGGTGTAACGTGGTGAGATGTAACCGCGGGGTCAGGCCATTGGATGCCGGTCCAGAGGGCAATGGCGCCATCGGCTCGCAACACGACAGCCGTGGCTGAGTAAGGGGTTACATAGGGCTGCTGGGAGTCCAGGTGGAGAATGTCGGTGAATGGAGGACGGGCCTGGAGGAGCGGCGGGGAGGTAGGGGAGGATAGGAGTGCAATCAGGGCATGCAAAGTAAGGAAGGAGTCCTAGTGGAGTATCTCGGTGAATGGAGGATCGGTCTGGAGGAGGGAAGGGGAAGGAAGATGGGTGCTGGGAGGCGAAGTGATAAAGCCCTGTGAATGGAGGGCGCACCTGGGGGAGCAGGGCACACCTGGTTGGGGGAGGGCGCACCTGGTTGGGGGAGGGCGCACCTGGTTGGGGGAGGGCGCATCTGGGAGAGGAGGGAGCACCTGGGGGAGCAGGGCGCACCTGGGAAAGTTTGGCAGCGACAGCAGAAGCATCCACGTCCCACAGGCGAGCAAAGACTTCCAATAGGCCACCACTGTTTACCGTCTGTGGGGAGGTGAGAGCGGGGGAGGTGAGAGTGGGGGAGGTGAGAGTGGGGGAGTTGAGAGCGGGGGAGGTGAGAGTGGGGGAAGTGAGAGTGGGGGAGGTGAGAGTGGGGGAGGTGAGAGTGGGGGATGTGCAGAAAACAGTTGATACGAACATCATACATGAACAGTAACTATGCATAGAACAGTAGGTATGAACATTACATTTGAACGATAGGAGTGTACAGCAGGCACGGGCACATACAGTGACGCAAAATATCCGTTCGTTAAGGGAGAATTCCAAAAACCGCTCCCACTCGCTGATGGTTAATGAAATCGATGGCTCTCGGATGCTCCCTCCTCTTCTCTGCGCCCCTCTTCCTCCTCTTCTCTTCACCCCTCTGCCCCCTCCCTTCACTCCTCCACTTCCTCCTCCTCCCTGTCCCGCCATGCCTCCCCTCGTTCCACCTTTATCCTCACTCCCTGCCGCCCCTTCCTGTCCTCTCTCTAAGTCATAAACGCGAATCTCCCCAAAATTAGAGCCAACCAGAAGCCGCCAGGTGTACCGTTCCGAGTGGCTGAAAGCGACGTCTGTGAGAGAATCAAAGTTCCCTAAACGAGGGTAAACGTCCACCAGGGTGTGACTGGAGAGAAGGTGCTGCAAACGAATGATGCAGTGGCGGCGACAGGCTCCTCCCAGGCCAGACGGGCTCTCATCCTCCAGCAACGAATCAGCTTCTGCCGAACGAAGTTCGTCTGACTGTTCCTCACTAATTGCTGAGCGTTCCTCCCTGATTGCTTCACTGGAGGCAGCACCAACACCACCAGCAGCGGCGGCAGCAGCAGCACCAGCAGCACCAGAAGCACCATAAGCACCAGCAGCACCAGAAGCCCACACAGGGATGCTCCCCATGACCACCGAGGTCGCGTCACTAGCCGAGAAGATTGACGCTATGGGGGGGTGAGTGTGGGGCATGGATGCAGCAATCACGCCGGTCCACGGATCGAAGGCTAAAGCCTGATGGTACACACACTCCAACCTGGCCCGTGCTGGGGCGTGTGCCGATGGCTGTGATGACTGCATTGACTGCATTGACTGCATTGACTTCTGCTGACGAGGCACAGAGAAGCAACCAGCGGATTCCCACAGGCGCATGCTGTATGCGCCACTGCCTGTGCCCCCCCCCCTCCGCCCCTCCACCAGCAAATACCGCGGGCGAGGGCACACCGTCTCTCCCTTGTACGGCCGAGGCTCTGTAGCAACTCCTCGGAACGGGCAAGGGCTTGGCAAGACTTCCTTGGAACAATGGGCCTGAGTCGTTGCTTCTCTGCCTCTCATCCCCCCACCCTCCCACCACTCCCGTGGCCCTCTCTTGCCCCTCCTCGGCCTCCACCCCACCTGCTCCCCTTCTCCCTCCTCTCCCTCCCCTCCCTCCCCTCCCTCACCTCTCTCCATATCCCCCTCGCCCCTTCCCACCCTCTCCAGGTCCTGCCACAGCTGCTGCTCTCACATCCTCCCCTCCACAAACCAAAGCGAGCAGCAAGGGGACATGGCAACCACGACGGCAACACGTGTCCCTCCGAATCCCAGTCGCTCAGAAGAGCTTCCCGCTTGTGGCAGTGAGCTACCTGCTCCTGGGCCAGTGAGGCAGCGAGAAGCCTCCTGAGCTACCCCTGAGCTACCTGCTCCTGGGCCACAAGCGGGAAGCTCTTCTGAGCTACCCCCCCTCCTGGGCCAGCGAGGCAGGCTCCACACGCTCACCGTCCCGTCCTCTGCTGCACTCGCCACCAGCCTCCACCCATCCTCGGTACAAGAACACCCCCCATCCTCGTTACAAGAACACCGCCTGTCCTCGTTACAAGCAGCCGCGGTAGCAGCATGAGAGCAAAATTCCGGTCCTTCTGGGGGGTCCGCGAGGCTCTGAGAGAGAGTGAGGGCGGTGAGGGGGAGGGGGAGGGGGTGGTGGAGGGAGGCGAGGAGGGAGTGGGAGGGGAGGTGCCACACCTGCAGGTGACCGTGAGAGGTGCCCAGGAGGAGAAGTGTGTCCTCCACTTTTATGACTGAAATGGTAACAGGTGGTGTTGCTGGTGCTGCTGCTGCTGCTTCTGCTGCTGATGGTGCTGCTGGTGCTGATGGTGCTGCTGGTGCTGCTGGTGCTGCTGGTGCTGATGGTGCTGCTGGTGCTGATGGTGCTGCTGGTGCTGCTGGTGCTGATGGTGCTGCTGGTGCTGCTGGTGCTGATGGTGCTGCTGGTGCTGATGGTGCTGCTGGTGCTGCTGGTGCAGCTGCTGCTGCCACTGATGTTGCAGGAGCTTCTGCTGGAATCACATTCGGTGCCGCTAACTCTCTCCGGTTCTCCGCCTTCCTCCCTGCGTTCCCATACCCTCTCTTCCCCCACACCTCTCCTCTCCCACCATGAATCCCCCAAACATCGCACTTCCCTTCTTTCCAATTCCTCCCCACCTCCACTCTCTCTCTCAACCTCCTCTTCCACACACCACACTCACTCACTCCCTCCCTTTCCCCTTCCCCTTTCTCCTCCCCCTCCCCTTCTCCTTCCCCCTCCCCCTCCCCCTCCCCCTCCCCCTCCCCTTTTCCCTCCGCGCGCGGTTGTTCCGCCCTGCTCCAGTGCGCAGCCCTTTCCCCAAACGTCCGCTCAAACACCTTCCGCCAGAATGCCTCTCCCCCTGCGCCCCCCCCATCCCGCTCCTCCGCCACCACCGCATCCCGCCAGTCCCTGCGGAAGGGGGAATCGGCGGAAGGCGGGGAAGACAGAGAAGAGGCGCAAGGGGGAATCGGGGGCAGGTGGGGGGATTTGCGCAAGGGGCCTCGGAGAGGGAGCAAGTGGGGGCAAGGCAGGGACGAGAGGCGGAAGCGGAGGGTAGAGGGGAAAAACTGCGCCTACGGGGAGCTTGCGGGGGAAAATCCGCCTGGGGAAGCGCACCTGCACGTGAGCATGGCGCAGATTATTCCGCCAGGCCCTTCAGCTGGTAAGCGCTGAAATATGTCCAGAAGAACGGTTCGAGGAAGTTTCGCAGCCTGAGGGGACGAAGTGGAATCCCGCATCGCCTCGTCTGCAGGCCCTCCGATGTCCGCCATTTCCGCGCGTTTCCACTAGCGTGCGGGTCGAACCCGCAATTTTTAAATTGGTTCATCCTTCCTAGTGTTGGTTGGATGTCCCAAAAACGCCTGTGATCATTCTCGAATTCTAGGCCTCATCCAACATTTTCGACACTCCTATTGGTTCGCGGGCCTACAGCGTTTTCACTCCCAACCAACCTTCCTAAGGTTGAACCTTCTTGAACTGAATCAGATTCGATTTGGAACTGGAACAGAGGAATTCATCTTCTGGGAAATATACAATTTCAGTCGGCGTGATTCTTACGATAGCTCATGTACGTGATATTGACTAGAACTGCGGCTACTTTTAGTCGTGCTTCAGCAACTCCTCATTCTTCGTTGATTATACATTCTTATGCTGTTTAGAGTTTCTACAGGGGACCGTTAAGAATGTATAATCTGGTCCAGGTACCGTTGTTTTCAATGGAAGTGCTTCAGATAATTGGAAGTGCTGCTACACCTCCTTCTGCGTGGATTAGTGATGGGTGAACCGCTTCAATAGAAACATAAGCAGCGCGGCATGAGTTATCGATGGTACACTAGCTCAACTGTGGGTTAACTATGTACAGACACGATACTAACATATGTACAAGGTGGTTTGTGACAAACATAGCTATTGTGACAAGAACTAACTGTTCAAGTACCTAGCACGCCAGCCGGGAAATCGCATGCATGTAGTGGCCACAGAATCACTTACCCTGTACACTGACAGAACAGAACTTGTCAAGACCTGAGAATCAGCCCGCCATAAAATCATACACTTGAGCTGTAGCACCTCGTGCCACAGCCAGCCATCGCCAGTTCCCTATCTGCAATCACACCCTTGCTTCTCTCCCGGTCCCGGTAATAAATCTCACTCTCATCATCGTTTTCACTACTCACATCACCGTCACCATTTTCATCACCACCACCACCACTCACACCGCCGCCCACTCCAGTACCTTCACCATCAGTAATAGTAGCAGCAGCAGGGGCAGAAGAGGCAGTGGCTGAGAGAGGATGCAAGAGAGGAGCGCGAGGCAGATAAACGAGGTTTTGGTGGGACTCTGGTGGAGGGCGAATAGAAAATACGGAGCCTTGGGACCAGGCTCGTCTTGGCGCAGATGTAACGCCATCAGGAGACACACAGTGGGATGTAACCGTGTGGTGGGTGCATTGGGTGGCGGTCCAGAGGGCAATGGCCCCATCGGCTCGCAGTAAAACAGCGGTGGCAGAGGAGGGGGCAACGCAGGGCTGCTGGGAGTCAAAGTGAAGCACCTTGATGAACCGGGGACGGCCCTGGATGTAAGAAAGGTGGGATGGGAGAGGGAGAGGGAAGAATGTAGGAGTGCTGAGTGAAGCACGCAACAATGGAGGTATGACTCTAAAAGGCAGTGGAGAGTAGGTATGATGTAGGCATGAAATGGAGGAGCAGGTAATCTGTATTTTGAGGCGCCTCAAAAACAGTTTAGGCACAGAGCACCTGGGGAAGGACAGCGGCCTCATCAGCAGCATCCACGTCCCAAATGCGAGCGAAGACGCCCCTTGGGATGTCATCACGAGTGTTCGTTACAGTCTGTGGGGAGAGTGAGGTAGGGGAGGGTGACAGAGGGAGAGGAGATGATAGGGAAAACTTTCCCTACAGATCCTGTTCAACTTTTCTTTCCCACCATGTCTCCTAGCCTAGCTTATGTACCTTTGAGCTAGAAAGGAGTGCATCGATATGAGCAGTAGACGTGAACGCCCCACACATGGACCGTGGACAAAAACGGTAGGCATGGACAGCAGACATTAACAGTGGACAACAAAAATAGGCGAGAACAAGGCAAGAGAACAGTGGACATGAACAGTGGACAAGAATAATGGGCAAGAAGAGCAGGCATGAACAGTGGATGTGTACAGTGAGGCAGAAAATCCGTTCGTTGAGGGAAAAGTGCTGCATCTCCTCCCAATAATCGATTCTCAACGAAAGCGACGGCTGCCGAAAGCTCTCTCCTCCTCCTCCTCCTCCTCCTCCTCCTCCTCCTCCTCCTCCTCCTCCTCCTCCTCCTCCTCCTCCTCCTCCTCCTCCTCTTCCTCCTCCTCCTCCTCCTCCTCCTCCTCCTCCTCCTCCTCCTTCCCCACTCATCCCTTCCCTCCTTCCATCTCCTCCTTTTCCGCCCATCGCTCCTCTTTCTAATCCATAAACCCTGATCTCCCCACTAAGTGTGCCAATCAGAAGCCGCCAGCTGTACCGTTCTGAGTGGCTGAAGGCGACATCTGAGACTACATCCCAAAGTGGGCACTGATCATAAACGTCCATCAGAGTGTAACGGGAGAGCACGTGCTGCAAACGAATGATGCATGGATACCTGCATGGTTCCGTGCCTGATGCTCCCTGCATCCTTGCGTGCAACAAAGCGGCTTCTGCCACACGGGCTTCCTCTGAAGGCTCGCTCCTATCGCCTTCAATTGCCGAAGCTTCAGCAGTGTCATGTGCACCCTGATGCTGCTGCTCTGAGCACCACGATGCTGATGCCCACAGAGGAATCGAACCCGTGACCATTGGATCATCGTAGTTTGCAAAAGGTGACACCAGGCGTTCATTGTCAATCCAAAGCTCGGCAGGAGGGTGAGTGTGAGGCACTATAGCAGCAATCACGCCAGTCCACGGATCAAAGGCTAAAGCCTGATAGTACACACACTGCAGCCTGGCTTGTGCTGGGGCGTGTGGTGACGGCTGTGATGATTGCACGGACTGCTCATGACTGGGTACGGAGAAACCACCAGCAGTGCCAAAGTCCCACAGGTGCATGGTGTACCCATTCCTGCTCGTGCTCCCAATCCGCTCTGCCACCAGCAAATACCGAGGCCGCGTCCATGCCATGGCTCCCTTGCAACGGCAGGATTGAGTTGTTGCTTCTGTGCCCCTCGCCCCCTCGCCCTCCCACCACTCCCGAGGCCCCCTCTTGCCCCTCCTCGGCCTCCACCCCACCTCTTCTCCCTCCACCTCCCCTCCCTCTCCCCCCTCCATATCCCCCTCACCTCCCCTCACTCTCTCCAGGTCCTGCCACAGCTGGCTCTCTCCCATCCTTCCCTCCACAAACCAGAGCGAGCAGCAGGAGGGTGCAGGTCCCTCCAAATCCCCGGCGCTCTCCCACTGGTGGCAGTGAGATATCCCCCCTCCTGGGCCACCTAGGCAGGCTCCACACCCACACCGACCCGTCCTCTGCTGCACTCGCCACTAGCCTCCACCCATCCTCGTTACAAGCACACAAGCCGTCCTCGTTACAAGCGCCCGCGGTAGCAGCACGAGAACAGATATCCGGTCCCCCAGGGGGGTCACCGAGGCTCTGGGAGAGGGTGAGGGAGGTGAGGGGGCAGGGGCGGGGTTGGTGGAGGGAGGCGAGGAGGGAGTGGGAGGGGAGGTCCCACACCTGCAGGTGACCGTGAGAGGTGCCCAGGAGGAGAAGCGTGTCGTCCACTTTCATCACACAAATGCTGACAGGTGGTGCTTCTGCTGGTGCTGTAGGTGCTGGTGGAGGTGCTGCTGCTGCTGCTGCTGCTGGTGTTGGTGCTGGTGCTGTTGGTGCTGGTGGCGGTGCTGCTGCTGCTGCTGCTGCTGCTGCTGCTGCTGCTGCTGCTGCTGCTGCTGCTGCTGCTGCTGCTGCTGCTGCTGCTGCTGCTGCTGCTGCTGCTGCTGCTGCTGCTGCTGCTGCTGCTGCTGGTGTTGGTGTTGGTGCTGTTGCTGTTGGTGGTGCTGCTGCATGAATCCCCCAAACGTCGCACTTCCCCTCTTTCCATTTCCTCCCCACCTCCACTCTCTGTCTAAACCTCCTCTTCCATACACCACGTTCACTCACTCCCCTTCCCCCTCCCCCTCCCCCTCCCCCTCCCCCTCCTCCTTCCCCTCTCCCTTCCTCTTCCCCTCTCCCTTCACCTTCCCCTCCCCCCTCCCCCTTCTCGCGCGGTTGTTCCGCCCTGCTCCAGTGCGCAGCCCTTTCCCCATACGTCCGCTCAAACACCTTCTGCCAAAACGCTTCTCCCCCTGCGCCTCCCGCGTCCCGCTCCTCCGCGGCCACCGCGTCCCGCCAGTCCCTGCGGAACGAAGGTCAGCGGAAGGCGGTGAAAACAAAGCAGAGATCGAAGGGAATTGGGGGCAGGTGGGGGAAATTGCGCAAGCGGGCCTAGGACAGGGAGCAAGTGGGGGCAAGGCGGAAACGCGGAGTAGAAGCGGAAGGTAGAGGTGAAAGCTGCGTCTACGGGGAAATTTTGGGGAAAAAATCTCCTGAGGAAGCGCACCTGCACGTGAGCATGGCGCAAAATATTCCGACAGGCCCTTCGGCTGGTAGGCGCTGAAATATGTCCAAAAGAACGGTTCGCGAGAGTTTCGCAGCCTGAGGGGACGAAGCGGAATCACGCATCGCCTCGTCTGGAGGCCCTTCAGCGTCCGCCATTTCCGCGCGTTTGCAACGGCGCGCGGGTTGAATTTGCAATTTGGAAACTGGACGAGAAATGGAGGATTTGAATCTGGGTGAACAATGTGTGAAGATTTTTCAATTTCAAACTCTAGCAGGCGTACACCGCAAAATGTGACCATATTTCTTGCGAATCAGCTCCTACTGTACACCTTGGAAATGGAATGGATTCTGCCAGCGGGTCAGCGGATCTGACAACTGAAGGCGCGAAAGTCATCGTCGGCCCACCACTGGAAAGACGATTTCGCAGCTATCTCGCCATCCGTTCATTCACAGTTCACTTTTCCTGGTGGACCTTTTCGCGAAGTCTATCTCTCGTCCAGCTTTTGATTGCCCACCCAGACTGACGCAACGGACGTAACCAGACGAGAACTGCCATTTCGCTGACTGCACCTACTCAGATGCTCCATCGAGATTGTCATGTCATCCCTCCATGGCAGAAGCCAATCTCCAGAAACAGGAACCAAGCAAAGACATGTTCAGCTACTGGCCTACGTTTCTTCCAGAGCAACAGGAATCCAGGTGCTTTCTCTCAGTAGGTTGTAACCTGAGTGAAAGCGTCGGATCAGTATCAGGCTAGTTACCGCTGCTTGCGTCGACGAGCGGCTTTTATGGTACTTGAATTCGTCTGACCTGACTGGATAGTGCACGTCGCTGTGCATACATTCGTCCCTGTCGGTCAAATTCACCGATTTTTACGGTGTAATGGTGTGACATGGTGATCGACTAAGTAAGGATGGATCGCAGGGAGCTCATGACCGCCGGCAAGAAGCGGGTAATGAGACCTTTAGAATCACGCGGCAGGTCTTTCTTAGAATCCTAAAATACAGCTGGGAAGAAGCGGGTAATGAGACCCTTAGTATCAACACCCCTTCGAAGCTCGTTCTTACATCGGTTCTCATGTGCTCCCGTTTCGCCATATCGAAATGCTTCCTGAAGCCTTATAGAATGGAAGACTTGTTCGTATTGTTCGTATATTCACATCGTGCCGTGCTTCCGATTGTTATCGTACGAACAGCTCGAGGAGTACCGAAAGAAGCAACAATCGAAATCGGGAGGAAGCTCTAAAGGAGGACAGCAAGACAAGGTGCCCGTGATGGCTTCGAAATTATTATCTTTCCTCTCTATTCCTCTAACAAGATCCTGATTTGAACAAGTCATTTCGTCTAAATTAATCAATTATGGCAGATCGTTTAACATCGTCGACCATGTTTATGCCGACCTTGTTTGTCTTACCACGAAATTTCCGAATTCTGAATTGAGTCCAGACGTGCTTGCTGCTCAGACGGCGTCAGTCTCTCCTCCCTCGTACTTCTTCCTCCCACCGTTTATCTCGCAGGCCAAAATGCCATCAACGGCTCCCACGACTCCGCAGGGCTCATCCAATCAGAGCGCAGCACGGCAATCCCAAGGCCAGGCTTCAAGCAGCAGCGACCTCCCTCAACTGGGCCTGAGTGTGCAGATCCAACCCCGAGGCTCCACCACCGCCCAACCAAGAAAATCCACTCCAATCCAACCCCGGGATTCGCTCCAAAGCCAGCCTAGAGAATCCACAGGCGAGTCGGCAACCTCAATGGTGTCGGCAGCATCTGCAGTGACGGCAGAGTCGGCAGATTCAGCAGGAACGGCCGTGCGGAGGACGATCAGCAGCAGCAGCGGCGGCGGGGACGGCGATTTCTTGACGCCCACAGGCGGCAACACGCCGTCCAGCGCCACCAGCTACGGCTCGGATTCTTCCTCGGGGGGCTTTGTGCTGCGCCCCTTCGCTGCTGGCCCTCGGGAGTTCCGCACCATCGCCCAGGGCATCCTGAATAAGGTGAGGAGTTGGTTGTGGGAGTGGGTTGTGCTTTAGACCTTACCGGCAGTGTATGGTACTGTGATGCAGCCAGGTAAATTCTAAGAGGGCCTAAATACCTACCCAGGGATCGAGGATGGAGAGATGGTGGTAGTTGAAAGAAGAGGAGGGAAGGGAGATGCTGAGGGGGAGGGTTGCGTTTTGGAAGACGGAAGGCCGAGCCAGCTGCTTCTGAGAGGCCTGACAACAACTGACAACCCGCCTCTGCCACCCACCCTGCCAATGCTCCACTCCAACTCGCGTGGCAGGGCTCGGGAGCTGAAGGGCAGGGAGCAGACGGAGAGGGAGCAGGCAGGCAGGGCGCTTCAGGGGCGGGAACAAGAGGGCAGGGAGGAGCAGAGGAGATGCGTAGACCGTCCACAGCGCAGCCGCATGAGGCGCACGAGACTCGCGAGAGAGAGCACGATGCAGCCTCTCTGGACCACTCCACTCGGCCCACAACCGCCCCTCTTTCCCGAAGCCCCTCCACCTCCTCGCTCACCTCCTCCGTCCCTTGGTCTGCCAGCGGCGCTCTGGACAGCTCATTCGCTGCCGGCGTGAGGCGGTTTTCCCTGGAGACGGGGAGTGACGACGGGTCGCTGACAGAGCGAGGGTCGGTGGTAACCACCACACGGGAGAAGTATGTGGAGCGGCTGGAGTTGAAAGTGGTGGAGCTGAAGCGACGGCTGTCTGTTGTGATGGAGGAGAGGGAGAGAGGCGGCGCTGGTTTCGCGGGTGCTGGTGGCGGTGCTGCTGGTTCGGGGGCTGCTGGTTTCATTGGCGGCGGTGGTGGTGGTGCTGCTGCTGGGTTGAGTGGGATGTGGAGGAGTACTAGTGGAGGGGAGGTGCTGCTGAGGGAGGAGCTCAGGAAGAAGGCTAGTAGAGTGCATGCGTTGGAGAGAGAGCTGGCAACGCTTAAGAGCCTGGTTGGGCTGGATCCGGGGGAGGCTGTATCTAAGGCTGCGGCGTATGGTGCTGCTGGGGGCGCGGGTGGGGATATGGGGAGAAAATCCAGAAGTGCGGATGCCAGATTTGTTGATTTGATAGAGCGGCACGGAGCAGAGGTTGCTGAGCTAAAAGAGTTACTTAAGGAGAAGGAGGAGCGGCTGGTGTTTCTGGAAAGGGATAGGGAGGAGGTGATGGAGCGAGTAGCAGCACAGGTGCAGGCAGAGAAACGTGCGGAGACAGAACGGCTGGCGAAAATGCAAGGAGAAATGGAAGCAGCTGCGGAGCAGCTGAAACGGCAGGTGTCATCTGCCATGGCTCGATGGAAAGGGTTGGAGGAGGAGAAGGGAAGATTAGCGGACCAGCTGCTTAAAAAGGAGGTGGTTATAGAGGGGGAGCGGGAGCGGAATGTGAGGGTTGGGGAGGAGTTGGCAGTGGTTCGGGGGCAGTATGAGACGATGATGGAGACTGTCGCAGCTCTGCAGGAGGATAGGGGGAAACAGGCTAAGGAGATGCAGGGGTTGAGAGAGGAGACGCAGAGACTAAGGGAGGAGTGTGAGAAATGTAGGGAGGAGAATGAGAGGATGAGAGATGAAAGGGTGGGGCTTGAGAAGGAGCTGGAGAAGTTAAGGGAGGAGGTGCAGAGGCGGAGGAAGGGTGACATTGCAGCTGCCCTGGAAACTGGGTGCAGGGCTGAGAGTTCTGGGGGTGTTGAGAGAAGGGTGAGTGTGGGAGAGGGGGAATCAGGGAAGGTTGGATGTGTGCGAATTACGCTAGTCAGGGACAGGTTGACGAGTTGCCTCTTGGGGATATCGTTCTTGGTGGTATCATTCTTGGTGATTGGCATGTGGTTCGTCACCATCTCGTGGACCCAGCCTCCATGAATCGGTGCCTTTTGTCCTTCTCTTTCCCCATGCCTTGCCATGCCTTCTCACCAGGTGTCTCAATGCTTTTTTTCTGGTTAAAAAGCCCAGGGATTCCAAATGTAAGATGCTTCATCTCGTCTACTTCATTTCCTTGCTCTCTATCCACCAGGTGAACCTGAGCGGCGAGCAGCGGGAGCTGCTAGAGGAGGAGCTGGTGCAGCTGCAGGAGCTGCTCGCCCGGTCCCGAGACGAGGAGGAGAGGCTGCGAGCCAAGATGCAGGGCGATGAGCAGCAGTGGCAGCAGCAGCTTCGGGAATCAGCAGCCGCGTTAGGAGCCAAGGAGGAGGAATCCAGGGCTCTGCTATTGCGTGTGGAGGAGGGGGAGAGGGAGAGGGAGCGGCTCCGAGCAGAGGCGGATGCGGCCAGGCTTGAGGCGGCGAGTGCTGGTGAGAAGCTGGCTGCGACGAAGGATAGGCTGGGGGTGGCGATTAGGAAGGGGAAGGAGGTGGTTCAGCAGAGGGAGGCGCTGAAAGGGACTCTGGCTGAGGAGACTGCTGTGCTGGAACGGTTAAGGGATGAGCTGGAGCGAGAGAGGGAGGGGAGGAGGGATGCGTTGAAGGCTGTGGAGGCGAAGGAAGGGGAAGTGGCGGAGGGGAGGAGGAGAGTGGGTGAGCTGGTGGGTGAATTGGAGGAGGAGAGGAAGAGGTTGGAGGAGTTGGAAGCAGCAGTTGCTGCAGCGGAGGGGAAGGCGGCAGGGATGGTGGAGGAAGGTGGGGAGAAGGTTAGGGAGATGGAGGAGAGAGTGAGGGAGGCGGAGGAAAGGGTACGGGTGGCTGAAGTGGAGGTGGGTGAGGTGAGAAGGCAGGTGGCGGATGGGAGGGAGCGTGCTGTGGAGCTTCTAGGGCAGGTGGCGGAGAGAGATGCTCTATTGGCGAGGAGAGGGGAGGAGTTGAGGGAGGTGGAGGGCCGAGAGAGGGAACTGGAGAGAAGGGTTGCGGAGGAAATGGAGAGGAGGATTGAGGAGGGGAGGGAGGAGGGGAGGAGGGAAGTGGAGAGGGAGGTGGGGGTGTGGGAGGGTAGGGTTGAGGAGGAGAGGAGTAAGGCGGAGGATGCACTGAAAGAGGTGGAGTGTTTGTCTGAGGAGGTGGAGCGGTTACAGGAGAGGGTTGCAGAGACAGAGGGGCAGCTGGTTGCTTCGCAGACAGAACTTGCTGCAGCGAGGGGGGAGGTAGGTGAGAAGGAGGGGGTGGTTTCAGGGTTAGAGGTGAGCTTGAGGGGGGAGAGGGAGAGAGTGAGACAGCTGGAGGAAATCGTGGAGACGCTAAGAGTGGAGGTTCAGGAGGCTCAGAAGGCAGGTGGTTCGGAAGCAGAAGCGAGGGAAAGGGAGAGAGAAAGGGAGAGTGCGCTGACTCGAGAGTTGGAGTCATTGCAAGCACAGAAAGAGGCGCTGGTGGGTGCTGTGGAGGATGAGAGGGCTATGAGGGAGGAGGCGGAAGAGGCAAAGAGGAGGGTGGAAAGAGAGAAGGGAGAGGTGGAGGAGAAGCAGAGGGAGCTGGAGGCTAGGGTAGGGTTTTTACAGGCGAACCTAGATGAGATGAATCTACAGGTTAAGGGTTGGGAGGAGCAAGTGGAGGGGCTTAAAGCTGAGGTTGTGGGCTGGGAGGAGAGGTTTGCTGGTCGGGAGCGGGAGTTTGCAGGCTCGGCTGCCGAAGCTGAGGCTCGGCTGGAAGAGGTTCGGCAGGAGCTGGAGGGGATGAGAGGGAGGGAGAAGGAGTGGGAAGGGAGGGTAGGGGAGGTGGAGGAGAGAGTGAGGGAGGGTGAGAAAGCGTTGGTGGAGAGTGAGAGGCTTTTGCAGGAGGAGAGGGAGAAGGCGGAAGGGCTTCAGAGGGAGATTAAAGAGATGGAGGTGAGAGGGAAGGAGGCTGAGGAACAGAATAAGGAGGCTGAAGCAAGAGCCATGGAGGCTGAAGGACGGGTTAAGGAAGCCGAAGCAAGAGTTGAGGAGGCTGAGAGGAGGAGGAAGGAGGAAGAAGCTAGATCGAGTGAGCTGTTGCTGCAAGTGGAAGAGGCGAAGCGGAGAGAGAGTGATGCGAGTGAGGGGAAGGGTGGTGAGAGTGAGGGGGAGGTGTGGAGGGCTGAGTGGAAGGCCGAAGAGGCGTTGCTGCTGCAGAAGCAGGCTGAGATTGAAGGGCTTCTGTTGGCTAAGGGACGAGAGTTCCTGGAGCTGAAAGGAGAGTGGGAGAGGGAGAGAGATGCTTGGGCAGCCGAGAGGGGTGAGTGGGAGAGAAAGGCGAAGGGATGGGCGATGGAGAAAGAGGATTTGCTTGGGAGGCTGCAGGGGGAGAGGGAGAAGTGGGAGGAGGAGCAGGGGAGGGTGGAGGAGAGTGAGGGGCAGCTACAGGAGCAGGTGGAGGCGGAGAGGAGGAAAGTGGCCGGGTTGAGAGAGGAGAGGGAGCAGCTTCGGAAGAGGGTGGAGGGATTGGAGGAGGAGGTGGGGCAGGTGCAGGAACAGGTGGAAGCAGAGAGGCGGAAGGTGGAGGAGTTGAGAGGGAGTTTGGAGGAGGAGGAGAGGCGGTGTGGGGAGATGCTGGGTGAGTTGCAGGCTGTGGCGGAGGGGAGGGAGGAGGAGAGGAGGCAAGTGGCGGGGCTGAGAGAAGAGAAGGAGCTGCTGCAAAAGAGGGTGGAGGGTTTGGAGGAGGCAGTGGAGCAGGTGCAGAGGAAGATGGGCGAGGTGGAAGAGGAGAAGGGGCAGCTGCAGAGGAAGGTGGAAAGACTGGAGGCGGAGGTGGAGCAGCTGCAGCAGAAGATGCATGCTGCAGAGCGGAAGGACGTGGTCACTCTCGTGAGTCCTCTGCACGTTGGACGCTCTTGGCTTTTCCTGTGCCACTTTCCTTTATGTGCCTCTTATCCATTCTAGAACCATCTCTACTGCTCCTCTCTGTGATAATGTGACCCACTTGCAGTTTCTCTTCCCCCCCAGACGGTTTTTGGTGCTCCATGCATCCCCTTTCGTTCTGGGCTGTTCCTGTCCTGAGTGTTTGTTTCACACTTTCGTCTCCCTTTCCTCCAGGCGAAGGTAGTTGCCAGCGAGACAGCTGCAGAAGAAGCAACCAAGCAGCTTCAATCAGTCCAATCCGCCCTCGAGGCAAAGCAAGCCGAGCTCTCCTCTCTTCAACAGCAAGCAGAGGAGGTCGAAGAAGCCTTAGAGCAGCGCGAGACAGAGCTTGATTCCCTTAAAACCGACATCTCGGCGCGAGAGATGATCTGGCGTGCGTCGCAAGACGCAGAGGCACAAGCAGCAGAGGATGCTATTGCGGTGGAAGCGGCTGCTGCACGGGAGATGGCGGAGAGAGAGAGGGATAAGGTGAAGGAGGAAGCTGAGGCGGAAGCAGCGGCTCTGAGGAAGGTTCTGGGAATGCGGGAGGCGCAGCTGGAGAAGCTGCAGGCTCGGGTGGCCGAGGCTGAGGAGACGGTTCAGGAGAAGGAGGAGGTTCGGGCGGAGCTGGAACAGGCTCGGGCTGAGCTGGAGGAGGTTCGGGTGGAGCTTGAGAAAGCTCGAGGGGAGGTGGTTAGGGTTAGGGAGGAGATGGGGGAGGAGATGGAGGGAGTGAGGGAGAGTAGTGTGAGAGCAGAGGAAGAGGTGGAGAAGCTTAGGGCTGCTTTGGAGGGGTATAGAGAGGAGGTCGAGGAGGGAGAGAAAAAGGTGAGTGAGTGTGAGACGAGGCTAGAAGAGAGTGAGAAAGAGAGGAGGGCGGCTCTGGAGAAAATGGATTCGTTGCTTGGAGAGCTGATGGAGAAGAGTGAGGAGAGTGAGAGGGCGAGAGAGGAGGGCGATAGGCTGAAAGTGGAGGCTGGCCGGTTGAGGGAGGAGGCTAGAAGGCTGGAGGAAGAGGTGAAAAGCCGCGAGGAGGAGATTAGTAAGCTGAAAGAGGAGGCTGTAAAGGGAAGTGCAAGGGCAGGAGCTGATGGTGAGAGGGAGCGACTGGAGGAGGAGGTAGAGCGGCTGACGAGGGAGGTAGAGCAGAAGGGAGCATTGCAGAAGGCCGCTGAAGACGCAAGGGCAGCAGCAGAGGAAGAAAAGGCAGCTGCAGATGCAGCAAGAGCAGCAGCAGAGGCGAAGAACGCGAGTCTGGTGAAGAAGGCGAAGGAGAGAATCGAAGGCATGAAGCAGAAGGTTGCGGTGGAAGCACAGTCTGCTGCAGTCGCGAGAGCCGAGGTTGACCGACTGAAGCGGCTTCTAGAGGGGGGAGATAGGGGAGGGGGAGGAGGAGAGGGAGGAGAGGGAGGAGAGGGTGGGGCAGGGGAGAAAGGAGCAGAGGCGAAGGCATCAAATGTTGGGGACGCGGCCGAGATAGAGGGGCTTCGTGCCAAGGTCTCTTTCCTAGAAGCGGAGCTGTCTCAGTTGAAGCAAGGGGAGGGGAATGGGGCAGGAGCAGGGGGAGAAGGAGCAGCAGGGGCGGCACCAGCGGCAGCATCAGCGGCAGCAGCAGAGGCAGCAGCAGAGGGGGAGCGGGTGAGGGAGTCACTGAAGCAGGCACAGGAGCAGGTGGCGGGGGTGAGGGAGAAGCTGAGCAAGGCTGTGCGCAAGGGCAAGGCGATCGAACAGCAGAAGCTGAAGCTGGAGGCAGATCTCGCTGCTGCCCGGGCTGAGATTGACGCTCTCAGGGCGAGCACTGGGACAGGCGCAGGGGCAGACGGAGGGACAGGAGTAGGGGCAGAGGCAGCGGCAGCGGCAGGGGCGGCAGCAGGAGCAGTGGCAGGGGCAGGGGCAGGGGCAGAGGCAGGGGCAGGGGCAGGGGCAGGGGCAGGGGCAGGGGCAGGTGTAGCAGCAAGGGAGCAGGTAGAAGAGCTAAGAGGATTGTTGGCAGAGGCAGAAGAGGGGAGAAAGAAGGAGGAGGAGGCGAGGAGGAAAGAGGAGGAGGCGAGGAGGAAGGCTGAGGAGAGGCTGAAAGAGACAGTGGCGATGATGGAAGGGGTGACAGATGCTCTTGCGGGGCGAGAGAAGGAGTGTGAGGAGGTAAGTAACGAACTTACTGAGCTAAGAAAGACTCTTAGTAGCGCTCAGGAGGAGGTTGCCAGGCTGATGGGGGAAGTGGATAGGTTGGAGGAGGAGGGTGTGAGGGAGAGGGCGGAGGCAGAGGAGAGATTGCGGAAGGTGAAGAGGGAGAGTGAAGAGATGGAGGGGTTTAAGAATGGGAAAATAGCCGAGGTGGAAGAGATGTTGGCTATAGTAGAAACGGATCTTGCTGTAGCGAGGCGGAGGGTTGAGGAGGTGGAGAGGGAGAAAGAGGAGGTGGAGAGGGAGAAAGGGGAGTTGGAGAGGGGGAGGGAGGAGTGGGAGAGGCGAGTGAGGGAGTTGGAAGAGGAAGTGGGTAGGTTGGGAGAGGAGGGGAGGGGATTGGAGTTGGAGCTAGAGAGAGTGAGGGAGTGGAGGGGGGTGGCGGAGGAGAGGGGTAGGGTTGTGGAGGGCATGAGGAGGGAAGTGGAGGAGGCGAGAGAAGAGAGGGAGGAGAGGGGGAGGGCCTTGGTGGGACTGGAGGAGAGAGTGAGGGAGTTGCAGGGGGAGTTGGAGGAGGAGAGGAGGCGACGGGCGGAAGAAGAGGTGAAGAGGGTGGAAGACGAGAGGAGGAAGGAGGAGGAGGAGAAAGCGAGGACTGGAGGCGAGGGGGAGAAAGAAATCGGAGAGGCACAGGCACAGTTGATGGAGAAAGAAGAGCGGTTGAGAGCGGTTGACGGGCAGTTGAAGGAGGTTCAGTCCCAATTGGCAGCGGTTGAAGGGCGGTTGGTGGCAGTACAGGGAGAGAAGGAAGCAGCAGAGGAGTTAATGCGAGGGTTGGAGGCAGAGAGGGGCGTGGGGAAAGAGCGAGTGTGTGCTCTAGAGGATGAGAAGGCAGGTTTGGTTAGGGAGTTGGAGCAGGAGAGGGAGAGGAGAGAGGATGCAGATAGGAATTTAGTGGGAGTGCAGGGTGGGTTGGATGAGGAGAGGGAGGCGAGGAGAGTGGCAGAAGCTGAGCTGGATAGTCTACGTTCTGAGCTGGCAAGTGCTCGTGATGAGCTGGCGAGTGTCCGTGCTGAGCTGGCAGCGGCTGGCCGTGAGGGGCAGAGGAGGAGTGAAGGTGAGACAGGAGAAGGCAGTGCGGAGGATGCTGATGCAGTGGCTGTGAGAGAGAGAGTGAGGGAGCTCGAGGAGAGAGTGAGGGAGGAGGAGAAGAGAGTGAAGGAGGAGGGAGAGAGAGTGAGATTGCAGGAGGAGAGAGTGAGGGAGAAGGAGGAGAGGGTAATGGAGGAGGAGGAGAGAGTGAGGAAGGAGGCGAAGAGAGTGAGGGAGTTGGAAGTGAAGGTGGTAAAATTGGAGGGTGAACTAGCAGAGCTGCAGCTACAGTTAGAAAAGGAGAGGGGGGAACAGAATGTCGCAAAGGAACAGCTAGAGGCTGATAAGGAACAAGCTTGTAACGAGGCTCAGGAGCTAAGGGAGCAAGTATCTCAACTGCGGGCATCTCTCTTGGTGCTTGAAACAGAAAGGGGCGCGTGGGTGGTTGAACGAGATGCTCTTGTAGCAGCAGAGCGGCAGGTGCAGGACGAGAAGCGCGGTTTGGAGGAGCAGGGAGCGGTTCTGAAGGGTCGGATTCAGGAGGTGGAGGTGGAGAGGGATGGGTTGCAGGCTGCTGTTGGTCGGCTGGAAGGGGAGAAGGGCGGGTTGCAGGAAGCAGTGGGGCGCTTGGAAGGGGAGAGGGCGCGGCTAGTAGGGGATAAGGAGCGTTTGGAAGGAGAGAGGGCTGGTTTGCTGGCGGAAGTTTCTCGTATGCAAGCGGAGAAGGAGGGGGTTGAGAGAGAGGGAGAGCAGTTGCGAGGTGAATTGGAGGAAGAGAGGAGGAGAGGGGAGAGTGCGAGGAAGGAGGGTGAGGAGAAGGGGAGGGTGGTAGATGAGTTGGAAAGAGTGGTGGAGGTCTTGAGGGGTGAGATGGAAGAGATGAGAAGGGAGCGGAAGCGGGAGAGGGAGAGGAGTGAAAAGGAGGAGGGGGAGGAGGTGGGTAGGGATGAAGCGGATAAGGTTGAGAAGGAGAGGAGAGTAGCTGAACTGGAACGAGCTTTGCACGAGAAGGAAGGAGAGGTAGAGAGACTGGGGAAGGAGGTGCGGGAAAAGGAATTGTTGATTGAGGAGTTGAGAGGGCAGGTTGGGGAGAGGGACGGGGAGCTTGAGAGGCTGAGGCAGGAGGTGGGGGAGAGGGAATCGATGATTGAGGACCTGAGAGGGCAGGTTGGGGAGAAGGAAAGGGAGATTGAGAGGTTGAAGAGCGAGGTTGGGGAGAGGGACGGGGAGGTAGAAAGGCTGAGGCGGGAGGTGGGGGAGAGGGGAGGGGAGGTGGAGAAGCTGAGGCGGGAGGTGGGGGAGAGGGAAGGGGAGGTAGAAAGGCTGAGGCGGGAGGTGGGTGAGAAGGAGGCGGCAGTGGCGTCGGTGGCAGCGGCACGGAGCAAGGCAGTGGAGAAGCTGAAGATGATGGTCGATAAGCTCAAGGAGGTGCAGGCACAGGTGGGTTCATCTACTTGGGGTCATTTATTGCAGAAAGGAACAGCATAAAGTGGTGATGTCTCGTAGCAAGGCAGTGGAGAAGCTGAAGATGATGGTTGATAAGCTCAAGGAGGTGCAGCAGCAGGTGGGGTACACGCAATTCGGTTGCTCCAACTTGACGGTCTTCATTTATTTGGGCCAGGAAAGTTCAGGTCGGGTTGGCCCAGGGGGGCTGATGGTTCAGGATTTTTTTCACAGTTTTTCAACTATGTGGTTACCTACTAGTTAAGTTCAAGAAAGTTGATTTTGCACATTCTCCTTCCTGCGCCATCCCCTTTCTGTCCCCTCCCCTTCCATCCCTCCGCTTCCTGGCCTGTTTTAATGCTTCCCTTGCAGTCCGAAGCAGTGGCGCAGGAGGCACGCCGTTTTCTGTCTCATCTGCAACAGCAGATGAGACTGGAGGAGGACCAGGAGATGGAAGAGAGGCTGAATGTCCATCTTATACCATTTCCCCGTGCTTCTGTCCTGTCGCTGTTCTTCTGTTCATTCCCACCCCATCCCTTTCCCCGTGAGCGCAGTCAGAGGCAGTGGTGCAGGAGGCGGAGATGAGACTGGAGGAGAAGGACCGGGAGATGGAGGAGCGGCTGAATGCCCATCTTATAGCCTTTCCCTGTTCTTCTGTTCCTTCCCACCCCATCCCTTTCCCCATGAGCACAGTCAGAGGCAGTGGTGCAGGAGGCGGAGATGAGACTGGAGGAGAAGGATAGGGAGATGGAGGAGCGGCTGAGAGAGAAGGATGCAGAGCTGCAGGGGGTGTGGGACCGTCTAAGATTGGCGGAGGCTCAACTCGGAGGGATGGCAGACGGCAGTGCTCCTGCTCCTGCTGCTGCTGCGCCTAATTCTGCTTCTGCTGCTTCGTCTGGTCCCTCTGGCGGTGGACACTTCCCGGTTATTGAGTCTGGAGATAAGGCAGCTGCTGCTGGTGCTGGTAGTGATGCTGCTGCAGGTGGTGAGGGGGAGAGCATGACTAGTGGTGCAGCAGCCATGTGGCAGGACGCTGTTACGTCGCCACAGCAGCAGAAATCTGAGGCAGGCGCTGCTGCTGGTCTTCCTGGCGTGGCAGAGAAGGATGCTGAGCTGGCAAGGCTGCGCGACGAGGTGGCAGCAGCGGGCGAGGCGGTGAGGGTGCTGGAGGGACAACTGGAGGCGGCAAGGAGAGAGGCAGACGACTTGGTGAGAGCACTGGGGGGGGTAATGGGTGGGGGTTGGAGTGGGATGGGTTGGTTGATGGGGTTTGGGAGATTGCCTGATGGGGAGTGGCGAGGCAGTGAGGGTGCTGGAGGGGCAACTGGAGAAGGCAAGGAAAGAGGCAGATGACTTGGTGAGAGCATAAGACTGCCGCTCTTTTGGAATTGCCTCTAACCTGTCTCTTTTTCCTTGAAAGTATTAGTGGCATCTCTCTGTTTTCTTTTCTTTTTACCCTGTCTTTCCGTATACTCCGTTCTCCATTCCCGTATCAAAGGCGCAACGCAGGCCCTCCTCCTCGCCCTCCTCAGTCTGCGTGCACTCTGCTGCCCCACCTGGGTTCACAACTGCTCCTTCTGTGACTATGTTTTCCCTTGCGTTTCCATACGCCACCCATCCCCCTGTCCTCATCAGAAGCGCAAGGCAGTCCCCCCACCTCTGCCCTCTTCCTCCTCCTCCTCGCAATTGGCATCAGCATCAGCCTCCACGCTCCTACCAGTCACCACGCAGAGGAAGGCAACACCTGGGGGAGGTGCATCTGACACGTCAGCAGAGTACCTGCCTCTGCTGGCGCAGCAGCTCGCCACGTCATCGTCCGCCTCGCTGGCGGGCCACACAGCGCTGCAGATTGCTGACTCGTACCCCGACGACGAAGGTGGGAAACACAAATTGGCATTCTGCGAGGCATGTGCCTCAATGGGGCTGAGGATGTGCCTCAGGGGTGGGGGGGTGCAGCAATGGCTCATTTTCCATATGACCTCTTCACAATTGCTACAATGCCTGTAATGGCGGCAATGGCTGACTTATTAACTAACCGATCTCATCTCACATGCACGAGTTCAAGTCATTAGTCAGTGCCTTCCGCATCCTCTTCCTCAACACTCTCGCTGCCTCCCTAATCCCCTACCCGACTCCCCGCCTCTCCTGCCCTCCCTCCCCCTCCCCCTTCTCGCAGTGCACGGGTTCAACTCAATCGTCAGTGCCTTCCACTTCCTCTTCCTCACATCCTCTCCCATTCATGCCATTGATTTTCCCAAACTCTCTTCTGCTGCCTCTCCTGCCCTCCCTCCGCCTCCCCCTTATCACAGTGCACGGGTTCAAGTCAATAGTCAGTGCATTCCGCTTCCTGCCATCCTTCCTGCACCCAGCTGCCAAGGGCATCGATCGCCTATGGTACGTGCCTGCGTGCTGCTTCCAGCCGTCTATGCTGCTTCTGCTCCTGCCGCCCATGCCCTGAGATTCCTTCACTCCCCTATGTTCCCTTGCAATCCCCTGCCCTCCTGTTCCCTGGTCTCTTCTTGACCCCCACTCTTTACTTTCTGCCTTCTACCGGTATCTCTACCGATCTCCCAACTCCCTACCCCCATGCACCAGTGTGGCGGGAGGGCAGTCGCTGATGGCACGGCCCATGATGCGCCTGCTGCTCGTGCTCTACTGGATGGCCATGCATGCTGCCCTCACGTCCCTGACATCCCTGCCTATTCTGCCCTCTGCTGCCCACCTCTCCCCCCCCTCCCCCCTTTCCATGTCTCAGTGTGGCGGGAGGGCAGTCGCTGATGGCCCGGCCCATGATGCGCCTGCTGCTCGTGCTCTACTGGATGGCCATGCATGCTGCCATGCTCGCCATGCTTGCCGCCCTCACTGTTGCTTGAGGATGAACACATGTGTCATGGACATCATGTGTCATGCACCATACGTCACACGTCTTATGCACTGCACATGCGATTGGAAACATGCGTGCAAGGAGCATCTGACATTTTTTTGCTGGACCAGAGTGTCTCGCGTTGTTTTTTATGCAGCCGGTCCCCACTCTACACTCATAGCATAGCGTATCCCTGATATGACTAGTTGTTGATAGAAACAAATTGTGTGGCAACTTCAGAATCCATTATTTTTTTGGCTAATGAGCTCATTGGCCAATCATCAGAGCCCACAGGTCATGCTATGGCATGACCCTAAACCGATCAGCACCAAGCCATCATTTCTCTTGCTTAATTGTCCTCCCCCTATCCGATCCCACCCCAGCATTGACATCTGAATCAGCACACTAAGTGCACTGTGTGCTTGAGATTCATGGAGGGGTGAGGGAGGAGGAAGGAGGAGTCAGTGAGGAGGAAGGTGGTGTGAGGGAGGAGGAAGGAGGAGTGAGGGAGGACGAAGGTGGTGTGAGGGAGGAGGAAGGCGGAGTGAGGGAGGAGGAAAGGGACGAGGCAACAGCATCCTCCACGTGAATCCCACACTCTGTCTTGTCCGACCCGTCTCTGTTCTTCAGCCCCTGGAACCGCCCCGACCGCTCTCCACCGTACTCAAACCACTTGGCGCGCGGAACAGGCAGGGTGGTCTGGATGTCTCCAATGGAGGGGAAGCCGTCGGCGTGAAGAGGGTGGGCTGGCACCCCGTGCCTCTCCAGGTAGTCAAAGCAATCCCTGGAGGCGGGAAGAGGGGGAGGGATGAGTAAGTGGTTAGACAGGGTGAGTTTCATGTCGCCAATGGAGGGGAAGCCGTCGGCGTGAAGAGGGTGGGCTGGCTCCCTGTGCCTCTCCAGGTAGTCAAAGCAATCCCTGGAGGTGGGGAGGTGAGGCAAGATGAGGGCCGTACAGGAGTGGGGTTGAGGTTTGGGAATGAGGAGTGGAGGATGGGCAGAATGGTCTGCATGTAAATGATGGGCGGGGATGTCTGCATGCAAGAAGAGGGATGGCATGGCACTCCTATCGCATCAGCAACCCATTACGGCCAGCACATATGGGTCACATTACAGCATTAAGCACCCCTAATGGCAGGCATATCATCAAGAACCCAGGGGCCATCACATCGCATCACAGCATCATCACCCCCCGTAACAAGATAGCAGCATACGTGAACTCCCAGTACGCGAGGGGCTGCACCTTCACTGGTGTGCCGTCCTCAAACAGCTGTGTGGTGGGACGATGCATGGTGGGATGGGTGGCAGTGGAGGAACGGGAGAAGCACAGGACGGGTGACATGGCATGAAAATCATGGGACTATGTCGCATGGATCATGGAATGGCGCATGCATCTGGTATTTCATGCGGTGAATTGTGCACATCATGGTACAATGTGACGTGTGTGTGGCATGTGACATGAGGCATGTGGTTGGTAAGTGGCATGTGACATGTGGCATGCGGTATGCGGCTTGTGGTATGCGACATGTGGTATGCGGCATGTGACATGCGGCATGCGGCATGCGGCATGGTCCGCCCTCGCACCTCCAGGTGAGCCCGCTCAGCGCCGTGGTCTCTGCGCCGCCCGTTGATCATGGCGTCCACGTTGAGTGCCGTCGGTGCTTAACGTGGGGCAAACGGGAAAAAAAAGCTACCAAAAGAGGTATGGAAAGAGCCCTCTCACTTCTAGGTGCGCGCGCTCGGCGCCATGGTCTCTGCGGCGGCCGTTGATCATGGCATCCACGTTGAGCGACGTCAGCGCGCGGCTGAACGGCTCCACCTTGCAGATCTGATCGTACTCGTCGATGTCCTGCCAGTGGCGGACGATTTGGGGAATGGGGAAATAGGAGGGATGGGGGGTCGACGAGAGATGCGGGGGTAAGCGCGGCTGAACGGTTCCACCTTGCATAACTGGTCGTACTCGTCTATGTCCTGCCATTGGCGGAGGGGGATTGTCGGGGGATGGGAGAGAGGGATGGGGGGGCTAGTGTGCTTGACCATGATAGGGATGGGGTAAGGAAGAGGAGAAATAAGGGGTGCGCAAGGGGTTGGAGGGGTTGGTTTCAGGGATGGAGACTACTTGAGCCTCAAGATAGCGTGTAAGCACTATAAAGGCGCCTGGGGGCTAACCCGGATAAAGAGGTCGGAGCCGTGCTTCTTGACGTACTCCTCCTTAAAGTTGAGCCTCGGAGTTGAGTCCCGCCGCCTGAAACACCTCCGCCTTGAACCCAAACGGCTCCTGCGTGGTGATCCCAGCAAATCACACAAGCGCATCTAAGCTTACCCGGATGAAGAGGTCGGAGCCGTGCTTCTTGACGTACTCCTCCTTGGAGTTGAGCCCCACCGCCTGGAATACCTCCGCCTTAAAGCCCAACCGCTCCTGCACCGCCGCGAACAGAGAAACACGCAAGGGAAGGTCGGTCAACAAAGCATGCTGGTCGGAATATTTCGTTTTTGTTTTGGGGTTAAAGCCTTTGCAAACCGCGAGCTCTTGTGGAAAGATTCAGCCCATCTCTCAACACATCACGACCTTTGCTTATTAAGAACAAAGAATTACTCCACGCGGTGCTCTTTCATACACTCGCATTCGCTGTTGATTGATTTAACCTGCGATATTATGTACCTCGCAATCCTGGAGAAACTGGTACGTCTCCGGGAAGAGGTGGAACGTGTGCATGGAGTGACCTTGTTCAGAATTCTGGTGGGACTCATACGCCACCGCTCGCAATCACACCGCACCGCAACATACCTCGCAGTCCTTGAGGAACTGGTACGTCTCCGGGAAGAGGTGGAACGTGTCGATGAACACGATCTTCACCTTGGGATTGTCGCCCAGCGCGCCGAGCCGGTGCAGCAAATGGAGAATCACCTGCCGGCGAGGAGCGGACGAACAAAACAGAGAGCAGATTGTTGAGACGAGAGACCACATTACGAGGAAAACGACGAGGAGTACAGGAAAAGAATCAATTCTTCATTTTTCACGAAAGTAACGTCATTCATGTCGATCATGTGCTGATCAGCACTGAATACTGGACGAACTCCAACTCTGTCTTGATCTGAGGTGGTATCGTCTGAATGCTTGCCACGTCTCCCGCAATAAGCGCGCACGGGAATGTGGGCCGCTCGAAGGAATCGATGGTCTTCTGAAGCGCGTCCAGCGCTTGGCCCTCCAGCTGCTCTTGCCGGACCAGCCGCGCCGCCTTGCTCCACTCCTCCACGTCAGCATTGGTTACCGCCGAGGCTCGAGCCGAACCGGCCGCTGTCCTTCGGACGGTCGCGGTCTGACGAACGGGAAACGATTCCTGAACGAATCTCAAGGAGGTGGTGTCGGTGAGAGTTCTTGCCCCGCGAGGGACAAAGGCGCTGGCTTGACGGGAGCTACCAGATTCGCCAAGGCGCGCTCGGCTAAACGACGGCCGCGCAAGAATTACGGGATACGCGTGCTTCGCAATGGCCGCCATTGCAAACTGAAGAAGCTAACGAGGGAAGAGGGAGACTAGACAAGAGAAACAAAGAAAATATCCTGTCAAGGCAAGGAAAGGGAAGGCCGGGCGACGAGGATCCTCCTCCTCTCCTATTACGTTTGTAAGGAATGGAATGACAATCTGGATGATGCGAGCACGTTTGTAAGAATTCTCCAGAAACAAAGCAAGAAATGAGGAGCGTCTAGAGGAGTGGAGATTATTTTTGAAGGTCAAATTCTCTCGTCTGTGGCAGGGGCGGGTGGGATGAGGCGCGCAGGAACCTACGTGGCATGTGCTTTCCCACCGCTTTGGAAAGGGCATCTTTTGCGTTCCCGCACGCGTCGAACTGAAGGCGGTCATTGGTGGACCGCTCCAGCAAGGTCAGATATGCTGCAGGAAATCTGACAAAAGCTGTTTTTTCAGGCGCTCGACCTTGGGATTGTCGATGACGAGCCCAAGCACTGGGGAAGCAGTATTGAAAAATTCTGCCCACGTGGAACAAAGTGAATCGATGGAAACACTCGTGCTTCAATATAGACAACTGCGTTACCTATTTCACTCGCTTCTATTACATTACTCCCCTCCCAAGCAACCTCGCCACCACCCTCGTTCTTGCAAATCCGCATGACACCTTCACCTCAACAGCCCTGTTCCTCCCAAACGCTCGTGATTCCCGCACAAATTCGTTCCTCGCCCTTCCCACCGCGTTTCTCAATGGAAAGGTTGGATTTACGTTCGACCTCGGACATGGACGTCGATAGAGACCACCAGGATCGCACCAATCGTCACGAGAGCAATTCATCTGCGGAGCATCAGCAACCAGCCCAGCACGCACACGAGCAATCAGACCTACACGCTCCACCCTCTTCCATCATCCCTCCATCCCGAACCTCTCCCGTCCCTCCTCCGAACCAATCCTCAAATCCGCTCCTGCCGATGCGTCAACTAACCCAGGACGAGCAGCAGCGACTGGAGCTATTAGAGCTAGAGGAAAAGCGTCTGCAGAACGCAGTGCGCCATCTTATACGCTCTAACGAAGAGCTCCAAGCCGCGGATGTCGCGGAGCCGGATCCCGTGTACCGGGAAGCGCTTATGGAAAATCAGGTGGTTGTTCAGAGCCTTCGAGAGAAAATCGCGTTGCTTCAGGCGGAAATTGCGGAAATAAAGGGAAGGGATTCAGGCATGGACGAGAGGTGTGGAGAAGTAGGGAGGGGGGATTGTGAGGGAGTGGTTGGGGAGGTAGAGGGTGGTGGTGCTGCTGCTAATCCTGCACCAGCAGCAGCTGCAGCAGATGAAACAGAGTTAGATAATGGTTGGCTGTGATATGTCTGCACTGCATCTTTCTTTAGTGTGCTCCAATGTGTTTTTACCATGTTTTTTACTATTGATTAGAAGTATGGCACAGGTGCAACTTCTGGTCCGGCTATTACAGAACAGAGTCCACCGCAGTAGATGGAGGAAAATAACTCTGCAATGCCCCAAGCCATGGGCTTCAGGGGCATCATCAACTTAAACCAAAACATCGATAAAACAACTGACAAAAACGAGACATACCTCCCAATAATGTTTTCAACCCTTCATTATCCCCATCTCTATCCCCCCATCATGATCTTCCACAAATCCTCTCCCGTTTCCCGAGCCTCCCCCATGCCCGCCGACCCTACCCTCCCGACCCTCCCGAATCACAGGCAGGGCATGCGCAGGCGACCCAGAATTACCTATTCGGGCAGGTGAAGAACCAGTAGGCCCCAACCGGGCAGGCGAACCAGACAAATTGCCCCGGGCCGGGGACGCAGACTGGCCATGTCGAGCAGGTGCGGGAGAGGAGGAGGAAGAGGAGGAGTGGGAGGAGGAGCGGAGGGTGGAGGGGATGAGGGTGCGCGTGTCGTCTTCACTGTCCTCACTGTCTAGCTGGGTCACATGCATGTCGGGTGATGCTGGTGACGACCCGTTCCAGTCGTGCCGAATCATGTTGGCTAGCTCCTGTGGCGTGGCACTGTGATGAGCGAGGAAGGGTGTGGAAGGGAAGGGAGGGGTTTCACAGTAGACCAACGAGTGTGCGTTTGTGGATCTTGAATTGTGAAGCTGCGTAAAGTGAGGGAGGGCGGGGAGGTGTGCAGCGAGCAACACGCAGGCATGGGGACATGGAGACACATCTTGGCAGTCAGTGCCAAGAATAACGGGTGAGCAGGGAACTGGAAGGCGTACAGCCAAGATTAACAGGCTTAGCTTTATGGCCTGCCACTCAGTGCGTAACAGCCTGCGACTCACTGGCTCTGTCTTCTCGTGCGCTCGACAAACCAAACAAAGGCAGCGATGGTGGCAAACCACCCCGCGATGGGCCTCACTGCTCCTCCCATTTCATCCCCCCAGCACTCACAGCCCCCTCCCCCTCAGAACTCACCGGTCCTTCCCCCTCCCTTTCCCCCACAAACACTCACTGGTCCTGTCTTCTCGTGCGCTCCACGAACCAAACAAAGGCAGCGATGGTGGCGAACCACCCCACCATGGCCCACAGGAACCCGTCCACCGTGTAGTCGTCTCCCCCCGTCTCCCCCAGCTCCATTATCCCCGTCAGCAGCGCCGCCCCTCCTACCAGCAAGGCTCCCCGGCCGAACAGTCTGCACATGAAATGGAAGTGGGGATGGGATAATAGGGGAGTGGGGCTGGGGAGGAAAGGAACCCGTCCACCGTGTAGTCGTCGCCACCCGTCTCCCCCAACTCCATGATGCCTGTTAGCAGCGCCGCGCCCCCCACCAAGAGGGCTCCGCGGCCGAACAGACTGCACATGAAAGAGGGGGTTGGAGAAGTAAAATTAAATCTCAATGTGAGGCCCACAGGAACCCGTCCACCGTGTAGTCGTCTCCCCCCGTCTCCCCCAGCTCCATGATGCCTGTTAGCAGCGCTGCTCCTCCTACCAGCAGCGCACCGCGGCCGAATAGACTGCACGCAAAAACCGTGATGGGAGATGTGGGAGAGGGTGGGGGGTTGATTACGCAATGAGACACGTGTTCTGGATCACATTATTCCATGCATGCATGTAAGATGCCTCACATGTGCATAGGCATACCTCAAAATTACATGCACTCTTCTGAGGTTCGTGTGTGCCTCATGAACTCCTGTGTACAATCTGTCAGATAAGACGCATTCCCATTGTCAAATGAAACACATGGCATGGCACGCACATGTGCACCCACTGCCAGATGAAACGCACTCACATGTGCACCCACTGCCAGATGAAACGCACTCACATGTGCACCCACTGCCAGATGACCCGTTTCATCTGGGGCCTCTCCCCCGGAGACGGTTTGGGCGGGCGGAAGAAGGCATTGATTGGCTGGAAGCAGCCCAGGGCGAATGTTGCCATGCCTATCTTGGCATGATTGGATGAGAGGTCGATGCTGTGAGGATGAGTTGGAGAGAGAGGGGCAGGGGGAGAGAGAAGGGGGGAGAGTGCGGGTTGGGGGAGTGGGAAGGGGAAAAGCAGCTCAAGGCGAATGTTGCCATGCCTATCTTGGCATGATTGGATGATAGGTCGATGCTGAGATGAAGGGAGAGGGAAGGAGGAAGGGGGGGGAAGGGTGATGTGTTAGGAAGGCGGAGAGAAATATGGGGTAGCAATTAAAGGATGGGAGCTAATGATAGGAGCGACGAGGGCTGGTAGGATACAAGAAGCATGGGATATGGGATACGAGTGTGACAAGATACGACGACAAGGGCAAGGGATAAGAGCGACGAGGGCTGGTGGGAGAACGCATGGGATAGGGATGCAAGGGACAAGGACGCACCCGCCCAGTTCACCGACAGCGAAGAGCAGCCCGAGCAGCATGAGCGCGAGGGCTGAGTACTGCGTGTACTGGTGGATGCTGTTGGGGGGGGGGAAAGGGGGGTGAGGGGTGTGGGAAGGGACAGAGTG